AGAAACAGGACAGAGGGAGTTGAGCACATCCACTTTCAGGTCGGATCCAGATTTAGGCATGCACAGCAGACTGAAGTTCTGAGACCAGGAGAGGGGGTGACCTTTTAGTCTTTCATGCCCTTTCCTCCACTGAGCAGTCCCTCTGGCACCCTGAAATATTACACAGAGGACTGGGGACTCTGCCGAGTGAAGCACATTTTGGGAGAGGTTGAAAGGAATTTTCCAAAAACCATGCAAAGGCACCTTCCGTGAGTGGTGTCCTTCCACCAGAGGCAGTAAGATCCTGATGTGTTCTGCAATCCACGACACTGAGGGAGTTTATTACAATTCTAATCTTTCATTTGCAATCAAGCATTCATTCGAAAAGATAGGAGGGAAGAAAGACCGGGTCTGGAAGGGAAATTGCTGCTGCTGCTGTCCCAGCTTGAAACAGCACCAGAGCACACCAACCTTGCCCAGACTGTAAAATTCAAGATTTGCTTTGCTGCCAACTTGTTTCAAGGAAGTGTTTGGATCATTGATTCCCCTCCATCATCATGACAGACTATCTCTTAAGACAACCTTTTAGGCAAAACAACAGTCTGATGCACTGGGGGTAAAGAAAGGAGAGAGAAGCAGAGACCAATGAAGCTTCAGCTAGGCTTAATTCCCTGCCCTTAAGTTTTTGGAAGGACAAAGAGATAAAGATACTTGATTCCTGAACCCAGGAAGGAAGGATAAACCTAACCAAAAACCTTAGACATCCATCATTACAAAAGCAGATGGAGAAGTATCTGCTTTGTCCTAATGAAGCTGTAAGGATTGGGCTTGCTTCTGTCATAGTAAAGTCTTCCAAGATAGAAAGCTCAGCCTTGGAATCTAAGGAAGATGAAGGAGAGGTGAGACTGGAATGGGTTCCCGAAAAGTCAAGGTTAACAAAGGAAATTAGTCAAGCCACTGTTGAGGTCCAAACCACCTCTGTTTTGGTGGGGGAGACTGGGGAACACGGAGGGCCTGAGAGGGGTGGGAGTTCAACCCAGTGGTCTGTCATCAAGCTAACGAGGAAACTGATTAAGTCCAATCTCCCTGCTTTCTGCCCCTCAAGTGATGTGAATCTCTTTGAGGATGGAGCAAAGCATCTTGAGGAAAGAGTCTTCAGTTTTGGAGTCTACTTCTAACCTGGGCAGAAGCTTCTCACTTGAACCAGAGAGAACATCATTACATTACTCGTTAGCAGCATCTATATTGCTCACTTGGTATGGCATCAACCAGTCTAGCTCAAGTAACGGGCTGTGGTTTTAGAAGCCTTTTATCTTGATCTGCTTGAAAACAGAAAGGGGAATGATGACAGAAACAAATCTTTCTAAATTAGCTTATGCATGAAAGCTAGAGCTGTTATACCTACAGTTATTGCTGAACTTCTTTTAATGGAGCTTTCAATTCGTTTCTTCATACAGCATTTGAAACGCTGGAAATCCCTCTGCCAAGTCAGACCAGATGGGGAGCCGCATGAATTTATTCACATATGAAGTGGGGGAGAGGGGTGTTTTTGTTGTTGTTTTAACCATGGAACAGGAATTGGTGGGTGAGGGGAGCAAAACCGTCCTTCTCCTGACTTACATGTATTCTGTGAGGGCAGTAACTTTTCCTTCAAGCCCAGCTTCAATATTAGTCAGATCAAAGATGGCTTGAAGAGGGAAGGTGGAAGACTGGGCAAGTTTCATTCTACCCTTGCTTCATGTTTTGTCCCACCCCCTGCTTCATATGTAGAGAAGTGAATTATATATGGCTGCCCCATACTGTCAGGTTTGTCCTCTAAGAAGTATTTCCACCTCTGTGCAAAGAATGTGGGAAAATAATTTCTTTTATTCAGTATTTTGTCAGTGCTGTCTTCTCCCACCTTCCTGCAAATTTAGCAGTGCAATAGAGAATTATTTCAAATGGTTGGCTTAGTGGCTCAATAAGGGAATCAACTGGTGAGATAAACTGTCATGGCCTTCCTATCCTTTTAAATTCTATTTTAGAATGAGTTTTTCCAACATGATCTCATAAAAATTTATGGTAAGCTGAAGTGATCTAATATCTCTTGCTTGTAAAAAGTGTTTGTGTGTAAGCCAAGTTAATTAAAACTTTATTGCTAGCATGGTACGCTATGATTTGCATTATGCATGTGTACATGTGTGGGTTTGGAAGGAAAAATATATGGAAATCAGAAGTTAATTATTAATGGGATGCTAAACTGAAAAGAATGCTGCACAGATTCCATTGCATGTCTGATACATACATCATCTGTTAATCTTCCCCAATTCCCATTTCTCCCTGGCTTTCCAGGGCTTAGCCATACACGATGTTGATGATGTGATTTAACAATTGTGTGAAAGGTTTTAATTAAAAATGAGGTGACAATGGAGGGAGGGAAGAATTGTGACTGGCTGCACAATGCACAGGGAGGGAGTTTCAAACTGTCTTCCCCCAGCTGTGTTCTTGTTCGCTGTGCAGTAATTAGCTGCAGGAAATCCTTCCCATAAGCGCTAATGGAAGATTTTCTTCCTTAAAGCTAATGCTCTGTGTGTGTGTTACTGTGATCACAGCTGAGCAGGAAAGGTTCCTAGAACAGGCAGCAAAAGATTTCTTAACACAGTAGCAACAGATTTCTGCTATAGAGCACAGTGTATAGGGGCAAGTACTGTGGGAGCCAGATGTACAGTCCTGCTAGGCGCTTGCCTAAAGTAGACACACAGCTTAATTGCTACCAAAGGTGTTTCTACCAAGGATTTATTGGGGGAGGGGGGTGAATTCTTATGCAACCAGAAGTGCTGTTCTTATTTTTTTACTTTTGTGCCACATTAACAATACTTTGCACTTTCACTTGTGTACATCAAATGGTAACAACTGTCACTCCATCCATCTCAGTGCCAGGTTGTAACACAACAAAATGTGCAAAGGTCAAAGCAGGGGGAATATGTCTGCATGGCACGAATAAATATATTGCTTGGGCACAGACTGTAGAATTTTTTTGGCCCAAACTATGTGTGTTTTTGTATATCTTCTAGTTCCTTTTTGCAAACATCCCTGCAGTTTCTTTCATCTCTGTAGAAACTACTAAAATTTTCATCTATGTTCTGTTCTACCTCCCCTGAAGACAGGAGCCAGGATAAAGTAAATATCCATATATCTGACTTCCAGCATTCCTGCTCGTTGTCCATGCTCACAAAGGTTTGTGGAAATAACTCCTGAACGTCCTAACATCTACTGTCTCCTCGGTCCTGCTGTAGCCTATTCGCTTCTCCATTAAGAATACAGGAATACCCGGGATGCTTAGTCAAGAGTTAATCCATCTTCTTCAGTAGCCTTTGTGGTCTCCAGATGTTCTGCACTAGAGCTCCAATGTTCCTAAGGATTGTCCATGGTGGCTAGAGCTGGTGGGAATTCTAGTCCCAAACCACAGGATGACACCAGGCTAGGAAATGCTAGTGTACACTGATTGGCAGTGGCTGTCCTCTGTTTCAGACCAAAATCTTTTCCTGCCCTCTCTGGAGAAGCCAAGAATCCAGAACCTTCCCCCGTGCAAAACATGTGCTCTTTCACTGAGCTATGGCCCTTCCCTTTGAAGGCTATCTTTCCTGGAAAAGGCTCATTTTCTCTTATGAAGGGGAATCTTCTTGAGAGTTACTGGGGAGAGAAATAAAGCATTATAAAACTTTAGGTATATTATCTGCTAAGACAACATCCTAGAACAACTTGTGAACAATAGGAAGTAATATACTTCACAGGAAGAATGTGGTTCAGTAAACTGTTAATTCTTAGGCAATCCTGATTGTTTTCCTTTAATAATTAAATAATCCAGATAGAACATTTATGAGCTTCAGCTTCTTGCCCAAAAAGGTGCATTCTTAATTCTGCATTCTTAGCTGTCGCCTGTAAGCCACATAGATACGAAACAATGGGCCAGTTCACATGATCAAAATCAGCCATGAGAATGGAACAACGACGGACTGGATGAGGGCTAACAACCAGCATTCAACCCCAACGGAGCTGAGTTGTTATTAGGGGTGGTTCTTCTGAATGTAACACAGTGGAATATACCTTTAATAATAAATAAATAAAGCAACAAAAAACTATTGGGTAGTGTAGATATGAAATAATAAAAAAATTAAAAAAATATTCTTGAAGGAACTGGGCAAGAAAATCAATGTCACTGCCACACATTTCTACATCCCATTCTAGCCTGCCAGTCAAGGTTGTGGTTCATAACACGATAGGAAACTTGTGGTACTACAACTCTCCTCAACTCTGGCCAGCATAGAATACTAGTACAGCCATAAGTTGCTCTTCACTATGGTGTCAAATACCAATTAATAAACTTGATGGCTAGCAATTAGAAAAGAGAGTATGCTTCTGCACAAGTTTTAATGCTTATAAAATATTCATTTAGTGCTATAATTTGTAGAATAATATGTGCACCATGTCTGATTTCTTCTCACTACCTTTTCAGCTGTTAATACAGAGGATAAAAATCAAGATCTAGATGGCCAAAATCAAGACAGCCAAGATTCAAGAGCTTCAGGTAAGCATTTCCAAAGACAAAGCAAATCTGATGAAATTTTTGAATATTCTTCTTCATGTAATATCACAAATAAGTTTGGAAAATCCTCTCAGTTGGCTGAGTGACTGATTTTTAGAAAAGCATCTCTTCAGTATATCAAGCCACTTTTGTTGGGTGAGGGCTTTTGTTTGTTTTGTTTTTGGACAGGGAAATCAAATGCCAAATATTTCCAAGTTTCCAAAGAACCTATTACATATTTAATATTAAAATATTACTATTTTACAAATAATATTACAAATAATTTAATTTACTTAGCATCATTCTAATTGTCAGTTTACTCTGGTCTATAATGAAGTACTTGAAAAAAATCAAACCAACAACTTAGTAATTAAGTTATAAAAACGAATGAAACCCACAAGAAAAGTAAGGTGCCATGTACTCTCTGGCACATATGAAACTTTAAAAAAAACCCACATGCTACTGAAACCATTTATTGAAGAAGCACCGATTCATTAAAGAAAACACAATCAAAAGCAATCCCTTTAATGTGTAAAAGATAATACACAGATGACAAGCAATTATGTATTCTGATTCAAAAGCACAGGACTTGAAAACCAGTTAATGTTAAACCAATCATTAACATTATTTAGAAGCTAGAATTCCTGTAGTTTTCAATTTCTTAACTTCAAAGCATTTCCAATACCAGCTCAAAATAGAATTATTTATTTTCCCACATCAAGTAAGTTTCAAATATGTATGCATTCTAATAGGAAGAATTCTGCTGATTTACAATTGATTTTAAATGTGCATTAAATTAACAGGGCATAGACACAAAACAGCAGTTATTACATGGTGCTTGCTAGTTCTGTTCAATGGGTTAAATGCTTATTGATTATACCCCACCTAGTGCACAGGAGGGGATGCCAGCTCTTACTTCAAATTCTCTGACTCCAAACTCTCACCGTCATTAGAAGGCTTGTGAAAGGATGGATGCATTTATCTATACAAGCATATTTGTTTTGCCAAAGTATCTCCTGTTAATTGATAAGGTACCTCTACTTTAAAAAAGCTTTGAAGGTGTTACTGTATTCCACAGTGCTTAGAATATTCAAGAGACATTTTTGGATAGGAAAACATAAAAATATAAAACAAATCAACATCAGCTTAATATTTAGTGTATTAAAATTATACAGATTTCTGACCAGTGAAATAAAAACATCACTTTTAAAATAATCTATTCATTAGCAGCGCTAGTTCTGGCTTGGTACAAGGCATACATGGAAAAAAATTCAGGAAGTTTCATTGGGAATTCTCACCCACCTCTGCAAAATCAATATTTAAAATAGGCTAAGGTCAATTACACTGATCAAGTGTCATTTATCTTAATACCTATGCAAGCTATATTGATTAGCAAATATGGCCTGCAAGCCTACTATAAAAAATTCCTATCAGATGCTATATTCAATTTTTTAAAAGCAAAAATGACAAGGTTACTGGAAAGTTGTGGCAGAAGGGAAAGGAAGACAAAGACAAAGAAACACATAAGCTCTTGTTATTAACTTGGCCTAGATGGTTTTGAGGCTTCAAAGCAGCCTCCAGAAAATCTCTGTATTTCCTCAGAAGCAGTGAAATTAGATCCTCAGGATTTTAATGTCTGAGCCAAGCTTGAAATCCACCTACAACCTCATACATAAACGTAAAACCACACCAGGCAAGACGCAGTGTTAGCCAGTGAATTCACCCTGAGACTTGTTCAATATGTTACTTTTCAGCTGTCTTAATGATAAGCTCTCTAAATAGAAGCAAACTATCCTATACAGCGACAGACTGCTCAACTAAGAAGGCCTCCTTCTAAGCAGAAAAAAAAATGGCAAAATGGAACACTGAATAGAGGAAGCCTCGCTAGAAATAACGGAGGAGCTTGGCAGCTCCCAAACAAAGATTGCCGCAGGGTGAATGGAACGGCTAGCAGGCCTGTGACCACACTGGGAGCACAGAGGCACACCTGGCAAATCTAGCACCTCCGCCTTGGTGGGCATTAGCGCCTGGCCCCTGGGACCTGTGCAACCAACACAGCCATTGGTTGGAAGCCTGCTGTGACAATGATGACGATGTGGATCGCAGCCATCGTGTGCCCGCTCCCATGCAGGCTGCCCTTCATGCGCCACCACCCTGGGCGTGAGCCACTGGCACCAGACCGACTCCCACGGGGATACGCCTTGTGCTGGACAAGGACAGAGGGTGACCCAGAAACCCCCCCAGTGCTGTTCCCTTTGGCAGTGCTAGAACACTTCCCGACAACAGTGTTCCCTTTGGTCATCCTTAACTGGTCCATTGGCCTATGGGTCTGTGCTTGTAAGAATCCAGAGTCCTACAGAGGTGTAATTGCAACCCTCTCCTTATATTTCCACTGTATTTTTCAAAATTATTTGATTTCACTGGCATTATAAATATGGCAGTATTAGCTGTAAAAGCTTTTTTTACTTCAACAAAAATCAAAAGGACAAATCCCGTAAGTCAGTACTTTATAATAATATTACCACCATTTTACCCACCTAGGTTAAACTAATATTCATATTTTAAAGTCTATAATTGATACAGAAATAAACTTGCTGCTATAATAATATATTTTCCATATGTTAAGATGAAATAAATATTAGATATAATCTGTAGATTCTATTTCATATTAATTTCATATAAGTGATAACTCTCTATTAGAAATATAAGCTAGGATCCATTATCTCAGACACATAGTGCTTCGTATGAAAAATCAGTCAACCATTCTATGTTTACAATACATGTGTTTCTAATAGATGGTTGCATGAAGAGCTCTTCAGTTAAAACAAAGGCATGTTACAAAACCTATCCCTGTTCACTGACTTAGGTTGCAATCCTATGCTTATTAAGCACGGTGAGGAGAGCCATGGGATGATTTGGAGCTTGGGCACCAGCCTCAGAAACTTGCTCTGAGGTTGTAGCTGGGGCTCCTAACTCAGAGCATCCTCAGAACTACGAAACCTCCAAGGTCACAACAGCAACCCTGGAGGGAGGCTGCTGCAGGTGTTCTGGGGACAAGGAGGAAAGGGGATAGGATCCACAGGTATAGGCAGGACCCTGACAGTACCTCAGCCTCCTCTCCTTATATGTTGGGCCAGGAAGACAGCCAAAATCATCCTAGTGTTTTGGAGGATAAGAAAAGCACGATGCCTCCATAAAATGCCCACAACCCTCCAAGTTTGGGGGACTGCAAACCCCCACATTGCATTGAGCTGGATGACTTCCTTTGCAAAATCAAAGAAATCAGCTTCATCACCCCATGTGTACACCATTAGTATTTTTGAAGACAGAATCAACTCTAATTTACCCAGAAGAAATCTTGCTGATTCTCTGATATGCACTTTAGAATTTGGTCAAAGAACAAATAAAGGGAAATCAGTCATTCTGCTTTTTAAAAGTTCACTTTGTTTCAGAAAGGAACTGCTATTAGAAAAAATATTCTCAGTGGAAAGTAAGAAATGTTATCTTCAAACAGACCTCTCCTGTTATATCACAGAGCTGCACTTGCCAAGTGCACAAAACTAATATATCCCTCCTCATCGAATTAGAAGGTGCATCTCTGGCTTGGTGTGCAAAAGGGTGTTGAATATGTGATTCCTTCATAGATCCTGCTGCCAGCAGCACAGCACAAAACTGGGCTGAACAACATGAAACTATGTACATTCAGTATGATGGCTGCCCTTCTCCAAGTGCCCAACTGATTCAGAAAAGTGGGCTGCACAGAAATCCACCCAACAGCTCTGTTAACTAAAACCTAGTCTGAATTACCTTTAAAAATACCAAGTCAACTAGCTCAACACAAGGGCTTAATAACTAGCAACCAAGTTGCCTGTTTGTTTTTGTGGGCAAGCATGCTGAGATGGGCCTTTCTCTCATCTAAGCATACAGAGGCATTCAAAATTTCCCCTGGATGATAATTAGGAATAAAGTTGGTGAAAAAGGAGTAAGGGAGAGTGGAAGTTCTTGGAAGAGTGGTCAACTTCTTTTTAAAAAACTGTTTCCTTTGTTGTTCTGCAATATTTCATTCTCTTTTCTTTACATTCAATTTGACCCATAATATTGGCTTTTAAAAATGAGAACACACAAAAAGATAAAGTAGGTAAACTGATTTTTTCAGTCAAAAGTGTCTGATAGATCAAATAGGAAACTTGCGCTTTATCAGACCTATGTTCTATGAGTGTCTATTAAACTTTTTTTAAAAAATCCCTCTAAGCTAGTGGCCATTACCACATCTTCATATCTCATGGTACTGAATTCTGTAAGTGAATTGGGTGTCATCTGTACATTCTTTATCTGACTTGAGTCTACTTTATTAGATCCAGGTTTCTAATGCTCAGACAACCAAGGGAAAACATTTCTATTCACTTTCTCAATATCATTCATACTTTTAAAAATACCTGTACTGTGTACCATCCACTTACCAAACAATCTCATACGTATTTACTCAGAAGTTTGACTGAATTCAGAGGCCTCTAAAATAAGTGGGTACAGGATTTCAGCCTTGATCCTAACTGAAACACCGTCCTTTCATTAAATAGCCTTGCAATCAAGTAAGATCCTGCTTTGCAAGTTCACAGAATAGCAGAGTTGGAAGGGACCAAGATGGCCATCAGGTCCAATGGGCAGCAATTTACACCATCCCACTCAGATGCTTAACGTAAAAAGACTATTTGGGGATAGAAATTAATTCTCTCCTACCAGAGGTCAAGTATGACTGACATCATTTGGGAGGATCAGAACGGCCCTGCTAATTTTATAGGGGTGAAAGGGAAGCGAAGTGCTAAAACCTTCAGTCAACCAGCACAGCTGCTAGAAATAGCACAACAGGTCGCCCTCAAGTTTATTTCTGTTGGGAATCTGCTTGCACGTCTAACCCAAATATAATAAATGCAATTCTCTATCGGTTTGACTGTTCTAGTTCTCTGTGCCACAATCCAGCCTGAAAGTGGGTAGCTATTTTAACTGGCCCTCAACTTGTGATGTTAACAGCAGCCTGACAGCAAAAGCAAACATTATGGGAAAGGAACTGCTCTTCTCTTCTCGTATCTAAACTCACTGTTTCTTTAAAGAAGTCATTGTGCTGCCAAAAGTTTTCTTGCACTGCCAGTAAGACAGAGTAGAAGTGGGAAAACATAGTGGCACTTGATGTCCTGGGAAGGGCATGCGGGGGAATTCCCACTGTTATCTCTACCAGGTGCTTCCTCTTGCTGCTTGCTCTGAAAAGGCCCAGTCGGCTCAGTGGGCATAGCTGGTGGGCCAAAGTGGCCCAAGGGCTGCAGGTCCCCCATTCCTCTTATGCTGAGATCATGTTCCTCCCATCACACAAAGCCTTCACTAGGCTTTTCAGAGCAGAGGGGTGACTGAAGCACCGCACACCCATTTTTCAAAGCAACCATTAATTAAAACCTGTTATACAGAAGTTACGCAGGTTCTGTTTATAACCACCTGGGGAAAAGAGTTGCCATTAAAATGTCTCTGTTTTTAAAAGGTAAAGAAGCAGGTTTTAAGAAGCTGCTAACTAGCACTGGGAAGTTAGCCTGAGAAAATGTTAAGTGAGTGCCTGAGGCTAGCCAGATAAACAAGGAGGAACTAGAGCACTGCCCTGCCAGATTAAATATGGGGGAGGGTGCCTTTCCAGTTAATGCTCAGGCAGAAAGTAAATTTGGGCCAATTCTGATCTTTTCTGTCACTACAACTATATGAAGGGTGATGCATCTGCTGAAATTCTCCCTGGAATACAGCCACACTGGAGCCCTGTCCCATATTTGCTGCAGAAATGTAATCTCATAGCATTTTTCAAGAAAAGTACTTGGGGTGGGGGATATTACAAAACCAGCTGAGAACAACTCCAGTGTTATTTTGAAAAGCTGCACAGAATAGGCCAATACGTGATAGCAGAAAACACAATATACTGAAACCCCTGAACCGAGGATTACCTAGAAAGGAGTAAACTCCAGTCCTTGATTTTAATGGAACTTACTTTCATTCATGGTTGCCGTGACCCCATTTGGGTGGCGATGGAAACAAACAAACGAGTGTCTAATGCTTCCATATGTTATCCAGTCATACACGCTGAGGGCTAATTTTTATGATGTTACTTTTTTGAGAAGGGGAAATCATTAGAGTGATGAAGCACAGAGTCAAACGGGGCTCCTGTGCCCTGAGTAAAAAAAAAGAGGCACCTCAGCTTGTCATGCTTGCCAAGAAGAAGCAAGAGAAGCTGCACCTGTTCAAAGTTCCCCGTCTATACAAGTATCGGAGGCGCAGGCCCCTGACCCCGCCTGCATCTGGTTACCCTAAAACTGGAATCAGCTAGTTTACTCTCATCCCTTTGGTTTAATGACTCTGCGGTTTGTATGCACCCTCATGTAGCAAGACAGAGTGTGTAAGGAATCATATGGCGCCCCTCAGTTCCTACAACAGAAGGGGACATTTGACTAACAGAGATGCCAAAGAAAACTGAGGATGAATAAGGAAGAACCGTTTCCTTGCAACTTTATAACAATGAAGGCCAAGATGAAAATTGGTCCTAGACTGCTAAATACCTAACAACAATGTAAGAACTTCTAGGTGATAATAGCCTAGCTATGTTCTAATACAGTATGAACCCTTTTACTTGCATTACAAAAATAAATCCAGTGAGAACCTTCTAAGAAAGCCAGATCAGCCCCTAGTAAGCAGAAGAAAGGTTTGAAATCAACACTTCAATGTATAAAATAGAAATAAGGCATTGTCTTAATTCAGTTATTTTAAAGTAATTAGTAACATATTGACAGGGGGATATTGGGAGTTGTAGAGCTTTTTCCCTGTCTAATATGCATAGGATTGTGCCCTAAAAGAAGTAAGCTACTCCTCCTAAAACTTCAGTGCAAAGTAAATGTGGAACAAAAAAGACTACAAGGCATAATACTAAAGAATGTTCCCTATTACCCTATATATATTCTTTGCCAAATTTGGTTGCTCAACAATATAACATAGCCTGATTTCTTATAACAGATCGAGATATTTTCATACATTTTAGATCTTCAGAAACCAGAGTACACAAAAATAGTTATCTCCTTCAACATTATATCTATGTTTCTAGCTATAAATCTTCTGTGTCTTACCGATAACAGTTATATTATTACATTATTTTATGTTTCAATTCAATTAAGTAAAAAAGCTTATATCTATTTTTTTAAATGCCCTGGTAGGAACAATCCTACCTATATTGTCGGATTTACACCACCATACCTGCTTGTGCTTTGTGGTAAGAGGACTGCAATTTTGAAACTATGTACATATTTCGTACCATTGCCTTTGCTGCTAAGTAAAAGCATCCCATTGCAAAAGATAAGAAGAGGTATGTTATTCTAAATGCATGTAATATATGATTAAAGGGAAGCTTTATGAGTTGCAGACTTTTGAGGAATGAAAGGGTTTATGAGGAATGTACGCACAGAGAAAACAAACCTGGCTCCTTATAATAGCACAATGGCGTGCTGAAGACCCTTTAAAGCTCAACTCTGCAGCCTGCCACTTAGCGTCGCAGACTTTATATACACTGCATGATCTTCTCAATAGCTCTTCCATATCTGAATATGAACAAGGGTATCCTTTCTCTGAAATAAATATTTAAGAAATACAGACTCAGAAATTATTCTGCAGCTCAGTCCACAATGGAATTGAAGGGAGGTATTTCAATTCAAGTGACTCTATGGACCAACTCATCCACTACACCTGTTGGTGTGACCACTAGCACGGCTTGTTGCTGGTGATAAATGAGGAGGGAGCAGTTGCTCCCGACTGTCACCAACTCCTTAATTCAGGGGAAAATCAGTACCAAGTGGGGCTATTGTTCCCACTCAGTGCTGAGGAGCCCAAAGCACTGGGATAGCAGCCCGCCATCTTCTGATTTTATGCTCTTTGCGTGGCATGGCCAAGTCACAGAAAGGGAAGAGCCCTAATAAGCAGGTGTGCCAGTATTCTGCCCGGCGAGGGTCGTGCCCAAGAAGGCAATTTTACAGGACATGCATGTGTGAACTTCTGGACCATGGCTTCAGCCCAGGAATTGACTGCACTTCCTGTATAAGTCAGTTGTCTTCTTTGGCTGGCAGTGGATCAGAGTTTGTCTGTGCTGCTTGTCATCTGAAAAGTTAAGCAATTGCTAAAAAAAATGGAGAATATCATGACATGAAGTCCCTCAGTAGAAATCTGCATCTACTGATAGATTTTCACTTTATAATCTTTCTGGTTTAAAACATCCTGTGCCAAACAAACATAGCAAAAACTTTTTGATCGTTAGGCCTTCTTATAGGAAGGAAGCGAAGCGTTATGAAAGGAAGAATGACTGCAAGGAAAGGAGTGGCTGTTTCATTAACAGCCATCATTAATGGCCTCCCATTGTACTTCTTCATTCCACATTTCTGTATTTGGTGAACAGGTTGTACAGCACTCTCAGGGTTGACTTTAAATCACAGTTTACAATGTCTGAAAAGAGAAAAATAAAGAGAAAAGATGTAAGGCTAAGCAATCCAGGCGACATTCTGAGAGCAAATGAAAGGGCCCATGTACACATCTTTTATTTCATAGGCCAGAGGTGGCCATCCAGATGTGGTGGAGCTGCAACTCCCACCAGGCCAAGCTAAAGGGGGCTGAAGCCCAACAAGTGAAAGGTTGCGCATTCTCTATCATTATATAGACAAAGGCTGCTTTTTCTGTGTGGCTAGGCTGCTGGAATCCAATTGACTTTAATAGGATTTTAGAAATCGGTGTGTAAGATTATAGCATGAACTAGCTTCTAGTGAAAGCTGTATTCATTTAGAGAAGGCCTCCACAACTTGTGGTCCATCATGCCAAATGCAGCCCACCTGCTATTTTAAATAAGTCTCGGTAAGTGGGCGATAAGCCTTCTGGTGTTGCAGCCTACCCGGGATCGCAAAACGTGGAGTTGCCAAACACTTGGCAGGCATCAGGAAAAGGCTGCTGACTTGTATTTGGGTTGGTGGGTCAAGTTATGCAGGCCTGAAGTAACAGAAAAGATTAGAAGCCTCTAAAATTACCATTCTGTTCTTGTTCAGTCCTGTCACTGACAAATTATTATTATTATTATTATTATTATTATTATTATTATTATTATTATTATTATAACATTTCTATGCCGCCCCTTGCCGAAACCTCGGGGCGGCTTACAACATGATAAAATACATTGAAATACAATAGTACATAATAAATTACCATTAAATATAACAATACAAAAAATACATTGATTTACAAATACAAAATTAAAATTATCAGTATAAAATAAAAATATAGGAGGAGAAAGAGAAGGAAGAAGAAGTTGCCCTGGCCAGATCATATGTTTTAACAATTGAAATGATGTTTAAATAAAAAGGTCTTTACCTGGCGCCGAAAAACCAGTAACGACGGTGCCAGGCGGACCTCTTTGGGGAGTGAATTCCATAGGTTGGGCGCCACCGCAGAGAAAGCCCTCCTCCGGGTACTTACTCTCCTAATTTCTTTCATGGAGGGTTCCCAGAGAAGGGACTCTCCCGCAGATCTCAAAGGGCGGTCGGGCATATACGGACGTAAGCGCTCGTTCAGGTAGCCAGGACCCAAGCCGTTTAGGGCTTTGTAGGTCATAATCAACACCTTGAATTGGGCCCGGGCTTCAATGGGAAGCCAGTGAAGCTGATGGAGGACTGGAGTCATGTGAGCATAACGCCCCGTCCCCGTCAGCAACCTGGCAGCTCTATTTTGCACCAATTGAAGTGTTCGGACTGTCTTCAGGGGAAGCCCCACGTAAAGCGCGTTGCAGAAGTCTAGGCGGGAAGTCACCAGCGCGTGTGTCACCGTCGCCAGGCAGTCGTATTCCAGGTAGGGGCGCAGCTGATTAATCAGCCGAAGCTGAAGGAAGGCGTTCCTCGCTACCGCTGTCACCTGAGCTTCCAAAGAAAGCTCCGGGTCGAGGAGTACTCCTAAGCTGCGGACCTTATCCCTAAGAGGGAGTGTTGCACCATTCAGGACCAGGTCAAATCCACCCTCTCCGAAACCCGATCCGCCAACCAACAGGACCTCCGTCTTGTCTGGGTTGAGTTTCAGTTTATTGGCCCTCATCCATTCCCTTACCTCGGCCAAGCACCGGTTCAGCACAGCCACTGCCTCACCTGGATTAGTGGAGAATGAGAGGTAAAGCTGGGTATCATCAGCGTATTGATGATTCCGCAGCCCACACCTCCTGATGACCTCTCCCAGCGGTTTCATATAGATGTTAAATAGCAGAGGGGATAGAATGGAGCCCTGTGGTACCCCATGGCATAGCTGCCATGACGTAGAGACATGGTCCCCCAGCACTACCTTCTGGAATCGACCGTCGAGATAGGAGCGGAACCACTGCAAAGCAGTGCCTCCAACCCCCAATCCCGCAAGTCTATCCAGAAGGATACCATGGTCGATGGTATCGAAAGCCGCCGAGAGGTCCAGAAGAACCAACAGGGATGTACTCCCCCTGTCCTTCTCCCTGCACAGGTCGTCGTACAGGGCGACCAAGGCAGATTCAGTACTGTACCCGGGTCTGAAGCCGGACTGAAAAGGATCCAGATAATCAGTTTCCTCCAAGAGTGCTTGGAGTTGTCCCGCCACCACTCGCTCCAGCACCTTGCCCAGAAACGGGATGTTGGCCACAGGTCTATAGTTAGTGGCCATCTCTGGATCCAGTGACGCTTTCTTCAGGACCGGTCGTATTACCGCCTCCTTTAAAGGGGCAGGCACTCGACCCTCCCTCAGAGAAGCGTTAACCACTTCCAAATCCAGGTCCCAATCCCATGCTTGGAGTTATTTATTAACCAAGACGGGCAAGGATCCAATAGGCACGTGGTGGGACGTACTCTTCCAAGCACCTTGTCCACATCATTGGGCCGCAATAATTGAAATTCCTCCAATAATTTTGGACCAGACGGTGGCATTGGCGACTCCTCAGAGACCTCTGATTCATTAGTGGAGTCCAGCTCGTGACGAATCTGAGCGATTTTCTCCCTGAAATGCCTGGCAAAGTCGTCACAGTGGGCCTTTGAGGGTGGCATCGGATCTTCCTTAGGACCCAGGCGAACCAGGCCTTGCACCACTCGAAAAAGCTCCGCTGGACGGCATTGTGAGGAGGCAATGGAAGCAGAAAAAAACTTCTTTTTCGCCGCCTTCACCGCCACAGCATAGGCCCGATAGTGGGCTCTCAAGTGTGTTCGGTCAGATTCATCCCGTGATTTCCTCCACCTACGCTCTAGCCGTCTCCCAACTCGCTTCATCGCCCGTAATTCAGGTGTATACCAAGGGGAAGAGCGGACTCTGCCCAGTGGGAGAGGACGCTTAGGAGCGATTGTGTCCACAGCCCTGGTCATCTCTCCGTTCCACAGTTCGACCAGAGCCTCGACAGGAGCACCAGTCTTGTCAGCCGGAAATTCCCCCAGGGCCCCCAGGAATCCATCCGGATCCATCCGGCTCCGGGGGCGGGCCCATACAATCGGGTCCGCACTCTTATAGAGGGAGAGGCCGCTCTCGAGCACAAACCTCACCAGGAGGTGATCTGACCATGACAGGGGAGTCAAACATAAGTTCTTCACCCTCAGGTCATCCTCTACCTGCCCCGTCGTGAATACCAGGTCCAGAGTGTGTCCACGTTCATGGGTAGGGCCAGTGACGTGTTGAGACAGGCCCATGGCCGTCATAGAGGCCATGAAGTCCTGAGCCGCCCCGGCCAGTCCAGACTCGGCATGGAGATTGAAGTCCCCCAGGACCAACATCCTGGGGGTCCTCAACACCAGATCCGAGACGGTCTCTGTCAGCTCAGATAGGGAGACTGCTGGGCAGAAAGGTGCACGGTACACCAATAGAATCCCCAATCTGTCTCGTTCGCCCAACACCAAGTAGAGGCACTCCAGCCCTGGTCTCAAAGGGACCGGAAGACCCGTGAGAGAGATGGAGGCTCTGTAAACCAACGCGACTCCCCCTCCCCTCCCTTCTGGGCGTGAACAGTATTGAAACAGATACCCGGGCGGGCACAACTGGGAGAGGGCAACATCCCCTCCCTCTCCCGCCCAGGTCTCCGTTATGCAAGCCAGGTCAGCCCCCTCATCCACAATCAAGTCATGGATGAGGGAAGATTTATTATTGATCGACCTGGCATTGAGCAGCAGCACTGTCAGACCCGAGGGGTGGTTGACAAGGCTACCTGGCACCCTCTGGTTGGGGGCAGGATCAGAAGGAGGGACAGGTGTCAGCCATCTGTCCATCCTTCTTCTACGTGGACACGTTAAGCCCCTATTGTTGTAACGACCATTGCCCGTGACCACGCCAATAGCAGCCCCCGTGGGTTCCCCAGGATATATAAACGTCGACATGGCCAGGAATGACTCAAAGCACTAATTAAAGCAGGGTAAGATTATAAAGTAGGTCGGAGGAGGAGAAAAAGAACGATAAAAAGAAAAAAAGAAAAAAGGGGATCCTTCCTCTTCCCTGAGAATCAGCAGTAGGCAAGCCTATTTCAACAAGAGTCCATGGCCAGCCCAGCCCCCCTCTCATCCCCCCGAACGGCACCCCAGTCTTGCTAATAATCTCCATTTGATTCCTGAGAATGATAATTTTATCTCAAGGAAAAAGCAGGAAGCCAACTGTTACTTAATATTCATGTAACATTCATGGTAACAAATTATTGACAGATCAGGAAAGAAAACTACCTTACTACTGGATTTTGTAATAAAATATAAACGTTTTCATATCCTAAACACCAGACTCTAAAGGTTTCTTGACTTGTACAAACTGCAGAAGATCACAATGTAAATTTTGGTTGCATTGTATGTATGGAAAATATTGGCCTCTCTAATGCATCACAAACATTACTCCTCCCAAGACTGGCAAGTAAGATAAAAGCACATTATATGGATTGATTGATGTTCCACAGTGGAATCAATCTAGGTTCACACTACTTTGATTCTGAAGTCTTTGGGAAGTCTTCAAGGCTACATTTCTGTGCACTCTTATCTGAAAATAAATGCCACTGAACGCAGTTGGAATTGTTTTGAAAAACACAACTAGCTTTAAGTCATAATTAATTAGGACTGGTATGTTAATTTGTTGATATATTCAAAACTCTTTAATACTTCCAACTACTCAGATAAGTAACAGGCATCAAATAATATTTTAAATATATGATTGCTCACAGGGCTATGCTCTTTTCCATATGGGACAAAAACTGAAGATTGGAAAATGAGATTTCTTTCTATTTCTATCTAGTTTGTACTGCTGAAAATGGAATACTAATCTAAAGAACATTGCTTTTTTCCTTTTAAGCTTTAGGGTGTTCTAGAACAAGCAGATTTACATTTGGATAGTGCTAGGACTGCTTACAGAAAGATTTCCATGTGATAACTTTGATAAATAGATTACCATTTAATTTTTAGGCAGAACTAGATGTTTTCATTATATGTTGCTTTTATGAGATATTGCGTAAAAACTTGATTTTGTCAACTTGCACGAAAACAGAAAGCAAGTTAGCAAAATAATCTACATATTTCCAGTCTTTAAAAAATGCCTGGATATTAGGAGACCTTAAAGATATAGCAGAGTCAACACACACAGTATCCCTATGATGATTGATGATGATTGCATTACATTTGTTCCTCTTCCAAGGAAACCTTACAAAGTTTTCCTTCTCTCCATTTATCCTTGCAACAACAAGGATAGGTTGTTGGTTAGGCTGAGAGAAGTCATCTAGTGAGCTCCATGGCTGAGCGGGGACTAGAACTGGAGCTTCCAGATCCACAGTCCAACAGTCTAAACCACCACACCGGCTCCCAGTAGAATACCTGAGAGGACTGTAGTACTATTTCCACTGGATGACTGTGGGCATCATCCCCAAGAATCTTCAATTGTTTCCAGTGTGAATGGGCACCAACCCCCTATGTAGCTTCAAGGACAGAGGTTGGCAAGTTATGGCTTTCCAAATGTTTTGGTCTACAATTCACCTCAGCCCTAGCCTGCACAGTCAATGATCAGTGAGGAGGGGAGCTGAAGGACTAAACGTCTGGAAGGGCCACAAGTTGCTCACCTGTTCTAGTGATTTTCTGCGAAGAGTTTAAAAAAACGGACATGACGCACACAATACAGAATGAAGGCTTGAAAATGCAAAATTTCACTACACTGGTGACAGGCAGAGCCCTTGTTTCTGGGGGTGGGGAATCTTCATTTAGATTTTTGTTCCTATATACTTTAATATTATGCGGTAATTATTTTAAAGTTTTCTGAGCAAATAATGAATTCATAAGCTTTGTTGCATTCACATATAGATGACGAAAGAGCATTTTCAGTATTCCCATGCCTGCTAGAAGTCTGAAACATGGGCGTTCTGCCCAACTTAACAACATATAAAACAGATGTGTTTTTCCACTCATATTGAGCAGGAAGTTTCATATTAAGCTTTTCAGTAATTGCACATGGAATGTCCAATGCACGCATAAACATGTAAATGAATGCTAAAATGTTTGTGTGGTTTGATTTACACTGGAAAAAATCCAAGTATCTTTCTAAGCAATAAATACCTGCAAAATTGAAATGGAATAATGACATTAACTGTCCACAAGGGATATGGAATCACAGTAATTCTCCGTTTTCACTGAGGCTCTAGAATTCCCATTTTATCTCCACTCAATTTGATGAAGGCCATGTGTTAAAAGTCACAATTAATCCACATAGGCAGTTAGCACTGAACATTTCCTAGCAACATTAACAGTCTGTTTTTCTAATGCTGCATCATTACATCTGCAATATTTTCACAATTCTTTGTTTAAACAAAGTATCCCCCAAGCTGTTGAAGTAATGAATGAGATATAAGGATATGGACGAATCCCATACTAGTACATTTTAAACTATACATTAGTAGATTCCATTTCTTTCATAACAATTTTTAAAAATGAAAGAAATTGAAACAAATGAGTGTCATGGGCATCATGGAATTATTTCATTCTTTTTTACTGTTTGTGCCAGCTTGAGGTTACAGGGGAAAAGAGTCAGAGAAAAAGTAGTATTTCTAATGTGTTGTTATAATGGGAGACCCAGGTGTTCTAGAGAGGGCTATAACTTTTCTGCACTCCATTCAACCAGCATGCGATTTTCAGGCATTCTGTTACCCTTGTAAGAGATCAGACCTACCAAAATACAGCCAAATGGTGCACCATTTTCATAGGGGTTTAAAAAGGCAGCCAGATATACAGTTCATACTATTTAAAAACTCATATATTTTTATTTCAAGCCCTGGACACTATTTATTTATTAAAAGCTTTTGTATGCCATTCTATTATACAAGGTCTCAGGACTAGGCCATCACAAAGATCAAAACAAAAATTCCAAGGTGATCCTAAGATTTAGAGACAAGTGAGCATTGGCAGTGATGTTCCCAAATCTTCAAGGAATGAAGCCATGCAGACACAGAGCTTGTTTAAGCAAACAAACAAGGAATGGACTTTTCATAAGCCTGAGAAACTAAGCCCTCCTTCTGTCCTACAGGGAAGAACACAACAGATGCCGATGCCCCTGATTTTCTTTTGCCCTGTAATTCTGTTAAACAAGCGGCCTACACTGCTTGTACAATGGCAATTGAGTGCTGAAGGGGACAAACCAAAACAAGTGGAAAAATGCCGACTGGTGTTCTACCAATGTGCCTGCTTCCAGAAGCAAGCATTTCTACTTGCTTGCGGACTTCCTTTGAAAACAGGAAGTCTGCCATGTGGTAACAATGGTTCCTCTTGTGCAATGTAACTCATGGGATACACTAATTGGAAGGCAACCAGAGGAGAGAAAAATCACCGGGATGGAAGTGTCCCACCAAAGGCTGACCATTTTTTCCTCTTCTATTTTGGTAAAAATTTTTGAGGAAAGGACAAAGTTCTCCCACATGTCTCGTTCATTCATTGCAAAGACTAAATTGCGTGGAATGCCTGAGGTACCCATTAAACAGTCCCATTTTTGTTTGTTAATTATTTATTGCATTTGTATACCACCCCATGGGGGGAGGCTCTCTGTTTTCAATCTGTTTGTTTAAAATGAAATTTGGATGTTATCTACACTCCTTTGAACTAGGCTTGGTGACCACCAAAAGAAAGCATGAAGATTTACATCTGATAATGTATTTCCCTTTCTGCATTTCAAGAAACATCAAAAGCTATGGAAAATAGACACAATTCTAATAATTGCTGTAGTTTCAAAGGAAATGAGGCATTTATTTTTCATGTCATTTCCTATTTATTGTACTTAACCCTTTACTATTTTAAAATGTCCTTTCATTCAAAATCTGTTTTATCATTAGATAAACTACAAGAAGTTCAAAAAGGTACCTTCTGGCCTTGGTTTGGGTTTTTCCAGCCCTCCATCTTGCATCAGCTCAAATGCAAAAGATACATTGAGTACCTGGTGATTTAGGTATAAGAGAACAATTATTCACAGTTCTAGGTTTTTGTATAGCAAGGCTCAGTATATTAGTTAAGGATATAAGAACAGTGTTCATACAGAGTAATTAACTGTCTATATATATTCTAATCTAGACAGCATACTAAAAAGCAGAGACATCACCCTGCCAACAAAAGTGCGCATAGTCAAGGCTATGGTTTTCCCAGTTGCAATGTATGGTTGTGAAAGCTGGACCATAAGGAAGGCTGAGTGCAAAAGGATTGAGGCCTTTGAATTGTGGTGCTGGAGGAGACTCCTGTGAGTCCCTTGGGCCGCAAGGCGATCAAACCGGTCAGTCCTAGAGGAGATCAACCCTGACTGCTCTTTAGAAGGCCAGATACTGAAGATACTGAAAACTCAAATACTTTGGCCACCTAATGAGAAGGAAGGAGTCCCTGGAGAAGAGTCTAATGCTGGGAACAATAGATGGCAAAAGAAGAAGGGGACGGCAGAGGATGAGGTGGCTAGATGGAGTCACTGAAGCAGTTGGTGTGAGCTTGGGTGGACACCGGGAGATGGTGGAGGACAGGAAGGCCTGGAGGAATGTTGTCCATGGAGTGGCGATGGGTCGGACATGACTTTGCGACTAACAACAACAACAACATACAGTGATGATTGCTGGAGGTCAGACTAGATGGCCTGGGAGACCGCTTCTGACTCGCTCTGTTTCTATGTTTCTATATATTCTAGGAAGTTAGCTTATAAAAAACTACATGTGGAAAGTAATGACTGAAAGAACTCTCAGTCTTAATGTTAACTTAATGTCATGCTATGCTCAGGACATTAGGTTAATTTCTTTTTTTTTAATACACAAAGATAAAGGGAAAAAAGAAACAAAAAAGAAAAGTTACCAAGAGACCTTGTACAAAAATTACATATAATACTATATGCGGGAAATATCACATATATTACATCTACCAAATTTGTAACTACAGTTTTAACATAATAATTCTTAGTTAAAAATAATACTCAGTTAAATTAATTAATACTTAATTAAGACTAATAACTATTATATAAACATTGTTTTAACATGGGTATCAAATAAATAATAATTCACTTTACAATGTATTAACAAATCCAGCAACAATTAATTGATGTTCTGTTTTTCCAAAATAAAACAATATCATAATAAAAAGAAGTTAAATTCGAGGAGGAATTATATCAATTTAAGCATTTTATACATAATATTGAATATCTGTAGTTTCTATTTTTTCTCTGAATTTCTGAATAAAGTAGGTATAATAGGCTTTCCATTTATCATAATAATTTTAACCAGTTTTGTATTTATATACCTAGTTAGTAAATATATTGGCTAAGTCATCCTTATGTAAGTTCTATTTTTTCTCTTAATTATTAAATATTAAAATATAACACACACACTTATGATATTTTCCAGTTATCATTAATTTTTTCAGCCAGTCCTATTTGTATAGCTGGTTAATTTACCATTGCTGCATATTCAGCTAGCTCATTTTTCCAGTCTTCACTAGTTGGGCAGTTTTCTGCTTTCCATTTTGATGCAATTGTAACTCTAGCTGATGTTACCATATATTTAAATAATTCTTCAAGATCAGGTTTTCTTTAAATACAAATATGTATTTCAAAAACAGAATTACCTTTTGTTCAAAACTATCAGGAGTCAAAAAAAAGCTGTGAAGAGGCACAAAATAACCTTCCAGAAGACCCATCAGGAGCACCAAGTACACACCATCTGCAAACTAAGATGGGAGGTATTTTTCAGCATAATATCTCACAGTTGCACAACCTCTGGAATGAGCTCTCTTTCTCCCTGTGAAGACATCATCTAATTCTGAAGAAATAAACAACCATAAACTATTACATGCATGGAAACACCTTTCCATAACAACAGAAGGACCTAAGCAACACCAAATGTGATTAGAAGAATTGAGGTACCCAACAAAGAAGTGTAATGATGTTGTAAAATTCTGATATATAATTCTATTTGTATTCACAGCAAGAAAATGCTATATTTTGTTTCTGAATCCATTTTCCCTAATTTATTGTTCTGTAGCTAACAGCTCTAGAAAGATGGAAACAATCATATATCTGGAGATGGAATTTAGCACATGGAGCAGTCAACTGGCTGCCATCACTGCAAGGTAACTGGCAAGTGAAGTTTAAATCCCTTTAAACTTCAGTGATGAAGAAAAAATTGTGATTTTTCAAAATATGAGGTTTTCCCCATATTTAGGGAATACAACATGCTAAAATGTGAGAGATTTTAATAAATCATTTTTTCACCAAAGTTCATAGACACATACACTGAATATAAATGACAGGTGATTCTCTGAAAGCTGGATGCCTCCTTCATTCTAGAAATGATTTTTAAAAAAACCTCTTAACATCATTAAACTGCAGTGTGTGTATCCAAACTTCATCCAAGCAGTCAAACATGTATTGCACAAACCAGGTAATTGCACAATGCAAATTTCCTGGACCCAAGAAGAAAAACCAAATGCAAACAAAAGGTTCTGTTGGTTTTCTTTTTTGAGGCATGGAGATTTTGAACCCAAGATATTCTGGTCTATTATTCACTTTCATGTGAAGGGGAGGAACCATTATGCAACTTATGCAATCTCTCCTCAAATATAAGCAAGGAGAAAAGTTATCTGACCATGGCTTAACTATCTCTCCAGAAGTGAGATGTACTGAAGTAATGCCAGAGTGCTGCTAGATATCAGGAAAAAAATCATGAAGAGAGTAGCACAACAATGAAACTATTCCCTATGGAGGTTGTGGGTTCTCTCACACTAGAGGTATTCAAGATGCAACTGGACAGTCACTGAGAGGGATAATTTAACTTGAAGTCCTACACTGAGCAGTGGGTTAGCCCCTCTGCTCCCCTCCAAGTCTACTATTCTATGAACTAATTATTTACAGTGCTATCCCAGCCATAGGTTCTCAGAAGTAAGTCCTATGAAATTCAATGGGTCTGAAAATGCATACAGACTTGCAGCCTAATTGTATTATGCTTAGTGTCTTGCCCTGGGCCCCTTTCCTGCTGCCTTTCACATCAAGCCATGGCTTTTCTGCTTATTTGTACAACAATGCTATCCTCAGAGGAAGATTTGAAGAGCTAATATAGGTTTTCCTTGTTTCTCCAGTGCTCCCTGGAAGAGAACTCTTGCAATGGTAACCCTTCAATTTTGATAGGAACAACAATCTTCCCTCAGTGTGTGTGTGTGACAGACAGCTCTTATCTTTTACATGCATTTTAAAGTCTAAAATGGACATCCTTCTGAAAGACAGTGGAGATACACAGATCTGAAGGTGAGAAGCAACATGATGAAGAAGAGGAGTTGTGAACATGTAGATTTTGTTATTTTAGAAATTCTCCCACTACCTTCCTCAAAGGCAACATATTTTAAAGTTTATTTTATTTATTTAAACATTTGAATTTTTCTATGCTGTCCATCACTAAAAAAGTCTCTGAATGGCTTACAAGGAACAGAAATCCAAGAACAAAACCATACCAACAATGCACAGCACACTGCATCTAAAATAGTAATAAAAACAAGGATAAAACCAATTAATCATTAAAATACCAGGAGAATAAAAAAGTCTTCGCCTGACACCAAAAAGAATAGAGTGATGGTGCCAGGCAAACCTCCCTGTGGAGTGTATTGCACAGGGACTAACAACCCTACGAATTTCCTTCAAAGAGGGTTCCTGGAGAAGGGCTATGGGAAAATTATGGGAAAATGTCAAGGATAAAATCTTTTTCTTTTCTTTTTTCCCCAATGGTATTCATGGTTTTCTGAACCCAATCTAAGGATGTTTCTGAAATTCAAAGAACAATTACAGTAAAAGAGATATGTAAGTTTGCTGGTTCAGCTGTCACCATAGCCATGATTTAGCATGGAATCCAAAATGGTACAAAGGATTGGAAAGGCCACTTTAAACTTGGCATCATATAAATACTACTGTCAGCAGTAGATTCTTCTTCCATCAAAAACTTAGCATTTTATTCCTCTGCTAAAGATGCTCTTTAATTTTAAACTTCCATTGCCTGAACCACTGCCTTTCAAATGCTACTGACCCTTCTCTTAGCCTTGGGCAATTTGGTAAACGCCCGTTTCAACAGCGATCTAAGATGCTTTCCAGCACATTTTGAGCCAAGAGTGCTACAGTCAGGAAGCTACTGAGGTCACAAGCCAACGCAACCACCTGTTCATGTATTTATAATCCATTGTTTGCACAAGGAGCTCAAGCTGTTGAAAATGGTTTGTTCCCCAAAGCAATTCTGTGTGGCAAGTTAACCTGAGGCCAAGGTCAACTCAGAAAGCTTCATGGCCAAGCAGGGATTTGAACCTGCATCTCCACAGTCCTAGTCACTCCACTACCTGTTAAAATCACCATGATACAATCTGTCCCAACATGCTATTATTCCCATCTTCCACATTCCGGACTTTATAGTCAAGGAAAAGACAACACACTTCCTGCTAAGGGTTCTATCCCCTGACTAACGACGAGATGAGCTCTCTCTCATGTCCATTGTTTCAGGATACAGCTGTGAGATCACTGAAGGATGAAAAGCTTTAAAGGCAGGATTGCTATTTTTGTGACTTGGCACCAGCAGACAAGCCCATCTGAGGGCACAAGCTTTGCAGCAGTAGCGATTGCCATCACCCGTAGTAAAACAAACCCAGTCTCTTTCATTCCCAAGCACTCTTAGTTCCTTGAGAATGACTGGCCAAGGATTCCACTGGGCTTCTTTGTGTTGGCTTCTTTGAAGTCTGTCTGTGTCCTTAGGGGAGCACAGTTAACTTACAGGTTGTATTAAGCAAATTGCGTGCAACCTGGGAGTTTGAGAAAGTGCCACCGAAAGGTATTCTTTGAGTCTAATTCTGTAGCCAACTGTGAATCCACCTAATGGTTGTTCCATCTAGCCCACTTTTAGCTAGTTGGCTGATCAGAATGTCATAGAGCACTTTACCAAAGTTTTTCTGAAAGTTATGGTGGAAGACAGGAAGGCCTGGAGGAATGTTGTCCATGGGGTCGCGATGGGTCGGACATGACTTCATGACTAGCAACAAGCAACAACAACATATGATATATGCTATGATGTGATCTGATGTAAGAGTGTAGCATTCCTACAGTCTGCAAGGAATTCACCAAATCAAAAAATGATCTGATCTGACCAAAAAATGAGATCAGAGTAATCTGGCAAAATTTATTCTTGAAAGCTCTGTGCTAGCTTCTAATAATCACTGCATTGTCTTCAAGGTGCTTACATTTTACTGCTTTATTATATACTGCAGAATTTTCCCAGGGATTGATGTTAAACTAACTGGCCTGAAGTTCATGGGATCCTTTTTGAAGATAAGAGACAACATGTCCAGCCAGCTGGCATCCTCCCATCCCCCATGATTTCTCAAACAGAAAGTAATCTGAGAGTTGCTCTGCCAGTTACCAGTTCCTCAGAACTTGGACATTTGAATTCATTAGATGTTCCTTGACCATTGTTTATTAATCTCAAGTGTCAATCCTGCCTCTTCAGTTTGTACTTCATGTTTACATTCTAACCCCAAAGCACACAATTTGAGTTTGGATAGCAGGGTAAAAGATATATTAAGAATTCAGGAAATGTTGGACTGATATGGAGCACAACAATAAGCAGTTTAAAGATACATATCCGTTTCAGTGCGCAAAGCAATAAGGAATTCAAAGTAACAGGTCAGTGGCAATGAGCAAATGAAGGGGAAATATACCATCTCGCTAGCGCACGCCTGTGCTAAGCTGCCTTCCTGGTTCCTTGAAGATCCACCCTGACAGTAGCACAGTTCTCCTGGAACCTGTATTAGTTCTTTCCCCGCTCTGGAGAAAAACTATACCTGGGCACTTGGCACCAGAGAAACCTTTGGCAATCTCTCCTGTGCCCTCTGCTAGTTTCCTTCCTTCCTTCCTTCCTTCCTTCCTTCCTTCCTTCCTTCCTTCCTTTCCTTCCTTCCTGTGGAGCTTCCATGCCCATGCTGGAAGAAAAGGGCCCTATACCCATTTCGTTGAAATGCAAGAATATGGATATGTCCAAATCTCTCTTACTTTAGGAACCAAGATATATATATTGATGTTTCAGAATTCTGACTAGACCAGATTTTCTCCCTTTCCAAAGAGCATGTCATAGCTATTCAGATAACATGAGGGTGAGAAATTAGCAAATATTCTAAGGAGGATCAGCTTGTTTGCAGGAGATGAAACTCCTTGTTATGTTCAGATCGAAAGTTACATTGATGAATTCTGTCATTCTCTTGCCTTAAGTTTATGCCCTTCAGCATTTCACATAGCAAAGCAGATTAACCTGGTTATGTTGACCTGAACAGTTCAGTACCAGACCCCAGCTCAGGTACAAGTGAATAATAATCACCTTAGCAATGAATGTGAGGACAGATGTACAGCTTGCAACAGTGTGAGCCAGTCTTGCAGATAAACTAGATAACCAAGCAGAGGTATTTACACAAGTTATAGGCAGATTACACCAAGAAGGATCTTTAAGACAATAGAGGAACAAGTTATCTACAGGGGTTTAGGTACTGCATAGCTCCAATGGAACCTACTAGGGCCATACTCCATGACCAAAATTCCCCATTGACATGACAAATAAAATGGTGATTTTGTTTGCAAACAGAATTGCTCTCACAAGTGGTTTTCGGAATTAGATTCTGTTTGCAAACAAGGCACATGCTCCCTATGCACTTTGCTTGCTTGTTATTGCCTCCACACTGGCAAAATCAACTGGGGCAGGGCCTGCAAAAATGGTCATGGGGCCTGAATGTATCCTACAACTTGTGTAATGCCCACTCCTAGACTAGGCACATGAAACCTGCTTTGTAGTCTGCTCTTTCTTTCTCATCAACCTTTGCAGTATTCCGGATAGGTTTTCTATGGGCTTTTCCAGATGGAGGCCTCCTTGTGTCACCATCACTGGACTTCCACTGTAAGGTAGAAACAGAATGTCTGCATACTGCCCACTGCCAGAGGACAAGTCTGGGTTCATGCAGCACAATAACCTGCACTCAGGGTTGATTGCAGGTTGTCACTGGACTATAGCTTGTTTTTGAAATGTAGGATATCATGTTGTCTGAACCCAGTCTACTAACAAGCCATGGTTTGAATTTGTTTTATATATTTAGTTTAATGCTTTTCTATATATGTTTAAAACCGCTACTCCTTAGAAGGAAGAGACATCAGAATACAGAATTGCCCTGCCAGAATACAGAATTGCCCTGCCAGGCTGCTCTACTGACCAAGGACCTCTCCGTCCTCATTTCTGTCCACACTTCATCCTCTACTCCTTTTTGACTTTAAGGCATCTAGAGAAGGCACGCTGCTGCGGGCTCAGTTTGCCATATGCCACCTCTTCCTCTTTCATCCCTTGTTTATCACTACAATGCTTCACTTTCCGTACCTCTGAGTTGTATTTACAACCTTGGGAAACAGCCAGCCTAGCATTTTTTCTGAAAGCACGGTTATAGAATGACATAAATTTATATATGAATATAATATAATATAAATAAAATAATATAAAAAGAAAATGTCCTGTATGGCAATTTGAAAATACCAAAGTGCAGATGATGATGATGACGGTTCATGCTTCTTCATTGCTTCACAGCATTTTACCTGTATTCTCTTGGTAGTCACAGCCCTGGTAATAGGGCAGCGCTATTACCTGCGCGTTGCAGACTTAAGTGAGGGACCTGAACGATTCAAGCGCGGCTAAATCTATCTGCTGAGTTCATGGCAAAGGTGAACGTTCAACTAGAGACTACTGGTTCATAGGCCCAGTCTCCTGGCTTAGGATTTGGTGCTCAGTGATAAATGTGTGTGCATCTAGTCACTTGTAACCCTACCACAGCGTGTCTGAAGGACCTGCAAATACTTTTTTTTTTAAACAGACAAAAGGGTGCGACCTCTTTTTGGTGCCAACAACAACACAGGGCTCTCCTGTATTTCAAGCTTTGTGCAGTTCCATATCCGAAGCTCTTTGAAACAGCCTGTCCTGCAAAACCCCATCTGTTCTCATCTCTCCAAGATTATTTATTATAGCCCAGTTCCACCTACTTCACATTTCAGAACACAGAGAGGAAGTAAAGGTTCTTCTCCCTTTTCCCAACAAGCCACCAGTGAGATCGTGCATGAGGTGCTTTCAAGGTTTACGTACCAGGAAATGGTCATTTTCTACTATCTTGGAGACACTCGCCATCTATGGCAGGTAATTCCTCCATATGGCCTCCGTGTGCAGTAGCTATGGAGATGATAATGTGGCATTTTCACTTTGTGTTTGTACTATGTAAAACCGGGTGGTTCACATACCAACTGCTTATTACCTACAAAACTCATTTCCTTCAAATTTGTATAGCAGAGAAGGCAAAAGGTGCCCAAACAAACTGCTGTGCGTATACAATACCCTCCTCCGCTCTAAGAAGTCACTCTTTCACACACTGCCATTTCTAAGCGAACCACCTAATTTTAGAACTTGCAAATAGAAAATAAAGGAGCTGGTTGCTTTTGTCAGGCAAATGGTTTGTTAATGCCCAGCAGACATTTTCTCAATAGGAGCTAAAGGCAGGGAAACAGCTGGGGGACTTTCTTGAGCAGTTCTGAAAGAGAGCGAGATGGAGAGAGCATTCTGGAATTTGTGGAATGTGAAAGCTATCAAAGCTGGGGAAGCTGACACACCTCCTCCCACTCACTCGCAAGCCAGTGTGACTGTAGAAGACGAGCAACTGGAGGTACAGAAACCGACTGATCCGGAAGCAGAGACAAAGCACGGTCAGCGCTACGCTGGGATCCTCTCTTTCTGGGGTGCGAGTCGGTAGGCAGCGGCACGTCCGCTTAATGGGAGCCATGCCCTACTTTTCCTATACCGTCTCCCCAGCCAAGCAGCCAGATTTTGGGGTTCACGGGTCACATGCATCATTCTGCCTGCTCTTGCACTCAGCAAATGCAAGAGCAGGCAGTCTCCGCACCTGCTCCACAGTGCCTCACCCAAAGCCCCCACACCTTCTTCCTTGCATGTAGTGGAAGAGTATCGCCAGAAGCAAAACCTCAGCCTCGAGCAAAGAAATCAGTCTCAGTGGCTGATGGGTGTGCTGGAAATGTCCATCGATAGAAAAAGCAAAGGGGTTCAAGGAGGGCAAAGCCAAACAGAACGTATTCCCAGTGACCTAGTGCAGCCCACTCAAAACCTCACCCCAGAGCCATTCGTATGTGTCCGTGTGGGTGCTTCCCATACCTCTCCGTTGATTCCTGTATAAAGCAACTACATGGCGTGAGAAAAAATGTTACGGCCTCCGGCTCCCTGGCACAGCTAGCGATCTGGGAGTAGCTGCATGGAGTAACTTCTGCGTCACTCAGATAATTCCAGGTAGATAATTTGGGGTAGATCCAATGAACAAGAAAGACTTCTGGACATAAAGGGTTCCATCTGCCCCATTCTGCACCTGGATTTCTGAGGTCCTCACAGCAAGCACAACAATTTGTAGCCTGGATCACCTGTGCTCCTATTCTGCATAGAGGCATCCATTAGGACCAAAACAACTTGGCATTACCTCGATACTTCTTCCCATCCATCATAACACCTTAAACAGAATCAGCTGCAATACATGAAGAACACAGGAAAACATTCCCCTCCTCTAAATATGATCATATAATCCTACCTGGGTTTCTAGTTCAGTGACTTCCAAATTCAGTTTATTCAGGTGCTTATTCACGAAAGTTATAAGGGTCTGAAATTTAAGAACACACACAGCAGCTTTCAGATCAGCATATTTTAACTTTTGAAAAACAGTCATGCAAACATTAATCTTAAAGGTCAGAATCTTTTTTAAAAGGTTAATTGAATTCCTCTGTTTGTCAGTGTATGGGAGCAGGAAAACCACATCAAACCTCATCACAAGCACAAACACATAAGGAACACATACCGCTGCAAAATATTTATCTCTTTAAAAACTATATGGTTACTGCTGTCGGTGTGTAGAGACAATAGCATTAGAGCCAAGAGGTAGGTTGATGTAAAGTGGAATGCCACTGTTCTTTTCAAGGGAGCTGTGCTGATCTGTATCGGCAGGAGATCATAAGGCAAAATTCTGCAAAATGGAAATTCCCGTGTCTCATTCACTCACTAGTGCCAAGTCTCATAAGAGATAATGCTGAAGAAAACAAAAGAATATTCAGAGATCAACCAACCTGCCATTTAAGATGACAGTTAAGGCAATCACATGGTGGCTCAGGCTCCACAAAGCCAAGAAATTGGAAGCCTTAACAGACATGCCCCATGATCAGAAACACTGGTCACAAATTGTGCTCAGGGCACGATCCTGTGCATGGTTAGACAGGAAAAAAATCTTACAATTTCAAACATCCTTCTATCCAGGTATAGTGACTGGAGCATGCTGAGAATTACAGAGTTTTTCCTGTCTTTTTCCAGGCATTGGATTGCACCCATATCCACTAATCATCCATATTTCCCCTGTTTTTTGTAGATAGGGAAGATGGAGTGCCTGGAATCTCCAGTCCTGAATTGCTTCATGAACCAGCTGAACCTTACTTTATTGCTAGCATAATCAGACTCTGGTGAATTGTTCCATGCCTGCTTGTTTCTTGTAAGCAAGCAGAATTTGTGACATCGTGCAATATCATTATAGATCATGGGGGCACCTCTGAAGGCATCTGCCTAAACATCCAATTTCCTGGCTTTGTGGAGCATTGAAGCAATGTGAGATAGCTGTAACTCTGGCCTTAAACTGGCAGCATTTTTTATTATTGAATTTCCCTGGTTTCTGGAAATTATTACAAATTAAAAAAACATTAACTGTGTTCGAGTTACAAATGAGCCAGTATGTTTCTCATCAGAACAGCTTATGCACAGGGTTCTAGCATAGCTTTTTTTCTTTTCCTTCTTCTGTTTATTAATGAGGATGATTCTCTTGGCCTTCATAATTACCTCACTCTTATCTCAGATGACAGTTCTCTGCTACCCAGAATGCTGACAGAAAGAGTGGAGTTCAAAATGCTGCCACAGAATAGCTTCAGAGTGAAAATGAGCACGCCTGAGAGAACTTTGCTGCCATAGCCTTTCATAATGTTTAAACTGTGGTTCAGAATTTCAGCAAACCAATGAAAGCAAACCTCATCAATAATTACGAATGAAATATGTATCACAGGAGTCCTCAGCATTTGCAAGACCTGTGATATACTGAGCCATGGTTTGCATAAACAGAACAAATGTATCATTTTTCAGCACTTTATAACTGGCTGAATGTACCCCATCAATTTGAAATTCTGTACAATTGCAGACCTCATCAGGTAGATAGCAAGTTTGATGCTCTACAAGTGATATTTTTTTTAATAAATGGTAGATTTTTGAGGCATATAATGACAATATTTCTTTTTGGTCACTTGCTTTAAATTCACTTTGATAGGGAAAAGAAATGTTCATTGAAAGTTTTAAAAAAAAACTAGGAACAACAGGTATGACACCATTTGCATTACTACTGTTGCATGGGGCGCTACTGAATGACAATGGAGGTCTAGGCCCCAAGAGGATTCTACACCTAACTTCAGTGTGAAAGAGACACTGGTATTCCATTTCTCTGCCCTGTTCGCATTTTTCTTCCTGACATCCTTCCAGATGTTGCTTGAGGCTAAGTCCTTGCAGCCCATGCAGCCTAGCCAATGATCAGGAATGATGGGAGCTATGCCCTGGAGGCCATAAATGCCCTACTCCTGCCTTAACAGCTCTAACTGGCATTTATGGGTTGATGTTCGCCTATGAGGGTATGATGATGAAGTGCTTCAGCACAGCTCAGGCATGGGCTTCTCCATCCTGATGCCCTCCAGACAGCTTCCATCGCTCTCATCAACCGGAAGAGTGATGGGAATTCTAGGCCAAAATATTCCGAATACATGAGGCTGGGGAAGGCTGGCAGCTGCTTTGACAGTACATAGAGGAAGGCATAATTATGTACAGAGGAAAATATAATGCCTCTGCCAAATGATCTGCACATGCAACAGAGACACAACCTGCCACTGCGACCGGCGGGACCTCTGAGTCTTGCGGAAGACAAGTGAAGAGGTCGTCTTCAGTATCAGAACAGAAGTGGAGTGCAAGCTAATTGGTCTGAGCCCAGCTTCTAGTTTGAATCTATTTATATTTGGTAGCAATAAAACATACAGTAGGAAAAACTACAGGCTTCCAAGATGAACCATGTGGAATTATGAGACTACTTAAAAATTTCTGTTTCAGTTATTGTCAGGAGCTAGGGTTTCTCCTTCACACATTCAAAAGCCACAAACATTTTTCCTTGCGAAGTGTTCTCTATTGACCAAAAGCACAAAACCCCAGAATGAATCTCTGAGCATGCACAAAGTGGTTTGTTGAACCCAATCTAGGATTCGCCTCCAGGAACTCTTCTTAAGAGCATGCCTGGTGCCCATTCCTTCAGGAGAGACTCTATGAAATAAGCATGTCTCGTCTCTGCACGCTACCCTCTACTTGGGCCACCTTCCTCTGCTGATGCTGGTCAAGGGTTCAAGAGCTGTATCTGTTTGAGCAACTCCCTGCTTCAAGTCCCCTCCTGCCAACCGTACATCTTGGTTATTCCCAGAGACTACCTGCCTACTGGGAAGTCTGGCCTTGAGATAAGCATCTCCATTACTCTTATTCCAGAGTCTCAGCTTGGCCCACATTCCCAGTCTCCCCTCAGTCCTCCCCTCAGTTCCCCTGAGTGTCATCCCGCTGAAGTCCTTGAAAAGGAGTGCCCATCTTTCCCACTCCCAACAATTATATGCAGTGTATTTCTATACTACTTGCATTCCCTATGTTATAAACAAAGACATTTTCCAACCTTTTTCACAACATTAAGTTTGTCTGGAGCATGGTCAAACAGTGTATCGAATGCATCCCGTTCTGAAATACAAGTGAAGACAACAAACTATTAGGTAATGTAACATTGCAGGATGAGAATTCCAAGGCAACAAAAGCCTTATGTGTTACCTAGACCAAGGCTCATGGTGCAACCCAGTGGCCCCTAGATGCTGCCTAGGTGGACAGAGGGAAATTTGGAGCTCCATTTTCAGCCTTGGAAATGTGCTCTGAATTCAGAGTACCCTTCCCCTGCTCTTCCGGACGGTACCAGTGGTGGCTCCCACATTGCAAGTGCCTTTAGCTCTGGCACAGGAGACAGCTGGGTGCAGGAGGGCCAAGAATCCTGGTGGTGCCCCTTTTGCTCATGCACATGGGTAAAACAGTGAGAGAAGAGCAAGGGCAATCCTCAGCCTTGGGCTTCCTTCATCTCCCATTGGGTACCTACTTAGTTCAGGGTGTTACAGGACGCTACAAGGCTTGGCATTTACTATATCAAAATGTTCCTTGAACCTTATTTATGGCATTCAAGCTAACCTATTCTAAAATTGGTTTCCCTCCGATTAAAGAGTTCATGAAGCATATTAGCTTGGAAGGAGGTGCTGGAAAAATATAACACTGTTAACAGAATCTTAAACAGGACTGTTATTTATAAGTATTTATGTCACTGGAATTCTCTGTTATAGAAACATTGTGTTAGATACACAGGAGTTTGTCATGCTAAATGTATTCCAGGAAAGGTAGTATATTCAGGGTAATATATTCTTTAAAACAATCTGGTGCTGACATGAACACTGAATAGTCAAGAAGAATTTAAGACTAACAAAATTATTTATTTTTTATGAATAGTTGATCTTAAAAAAAACTTGCAGAGGATATATACAAAATATATGTGCACATACAATTCTCAGCTGCATAGCACAGCACTCCTCCCCTAAAGATTCCCTGTGATCAAGGTGCAATTTAGGAATTGCAATATAGATGCAGTATAGGAATTGCAGTGAAGGTTTTTAACAAGTTCTCTATATGAACCACAGCAGTTAGCAAGCTGAAAGCAAATCTATTAGAACCAAAGTCTGTACATGTGTGCCAGAAAGAGGTGCTGCAGCTTTTAACAATTTTAGGTAGTAAACATTTTGTAAAAGAACATTCAGGAGCAGCAGTTTGCTGTCCTTTGAGATTTAGGTCTGCCTATACATGATTGTGAGGGAAGGACTGAAGTCATTACTCTTATCTATTTGCTTTGGTTTTCATGTAGGAGATCCACAAGATTACCTGATTATACCCAGTGCTGATGATTGCTCTTCTCTGCACTGAATGAATGGGGCACAGTATAGAGGTACAGGCTTAGTGTTGACCTGGGCTTGTTATTTTTAGTTAAAGTTTGGTTAGACGTATCTGACCAAATTTTCATACTGAATGGGATGCCAACAGGCATCCCAAAGCTAGGGATCTGGAATCTCGAGATCTCTGCATGTGGACTTGCCATTGTACATGTTCTGATTCCTTGGGTTTCTTAATCCTGGATTCACATCGCAGTGCGCCAGCACTAAGTGCAGAGTTCATACAGACCTCTGCATGGCTCTACAGATTAACTCAGGTCTTTCCCTGATGTCTTTGAGAAAAGAGACTTCGGGAAGTATTTTACCTTTCTCCTACACTCTGAGCAACAGAGATTACAACTGGGAAATTAAGTTATCCCATGTCTTTGATAAGGCTGTAATTATTAGCTGCACAATTTCATAAGAAAGCTTTTGTGGTGAGATTCCTTTTAATACAAGTAATTTCACTGATTCAGGCTTTTTGCAGATCCAGGTACCTGAGCAGAGATCCGGAGATACAACACAGACCTGTAGAGTTTGAAAAGTGGGCCATTATCCAAGAAAAGGATAATGAGATCTACAGTTAAGCAGTATCACAGCTTATTTTTCTTGGGAATTCATGTATCTTAATAGACAAGACTTAGATTTACACACTAATCAAGACAGCTACAAATGAATTAAGCACCTGTAGCAGAATTAAGTGAAAAAAAAACTTTGAAAAAAGCTAGGAGTCAAATGAATCTTACCATGCCGTCCTGAAAATGCCCTGCAGGAAAAGAAATAATACAATTAAATACGTACTTACTCCTGTGTTAATTGAATATATTTCTCTCAGTGCAGAAGTAAAACTGCGTATATGGGTAAATCTGCACCTAGCAATATACATGGGCTTTTCATGCCAACTGAGAAATATCCATACAAGATTTCCAACCCCATAGCATACTCCCCACTAACTTCAATTAAACAGGATCTTCTTGTAAAATTACAAGTGTACGTTTGACTATTTAAAGATTTTTATGATTTGTTAAAGAGGTGATTAGCCAAACTTTACTTTTTACAAGATTTAAAAATACTTGGAAAGAAACATCTATTTGTCCCAGCTTTTGGGCACTGTTCACAAGCAGTCATGAAGTAGAATCTGCAATTTGGATTTGGAATATATAGATATAGATCAGTATATAAGTATACATCAGGTACGCAGCCCCAGAAATAATGCAGGCAAATGGTTGCATTTTCACCAGAGAGTGATGTTGACGTACTCAGTGTTACCAGTTATTTCCTCTTGGATTTGCCGGGACTGGAGGATTCCTTCGCGCTTCTGGAAAATAGATTATATAATATTTATGCTATATATAATTCTTATAATGCTAGAGTGTTTTTACATGCACAGATGGGTGTCATCTGCTATTCAAAACTCTGTGAATGCAGTTCTGCCCATACGCCTAAAGGCAGAAATGCATATATACTGCTGGGAGGAAAGTAGGCAGAAGATGGCCAAAACAAAAGGATCCAAAAGGAACTAAGTTTTTTAAAAACATAAAAACAAAAAGAGAGTGAACTTGAAATGTCAGACAGGTAATATTATGGAGCACGATAGACCAGCATTTTCACAGGCTTATAAAAAAGTCTAAATCTGTGATCAGAATGGATTAGAATATACAACACTGGAACGGACATTTATTAAAGTTGTGCTCAATGAACAAATATTGACTGTTGAGTATTCAGCACAGCGTCTTATTTGTATATTTAAAGAAGAAAGCTACCATGCAGGAAGACTATCAGAAAGTTATTGAGATCACTGATTGGCAATTGTATGTTGTTGTTAGTCGCAAAGTCACATCTGATCCATCATGACCCCGTGGACAACATTCCTCCAGGCTCTCCTGTTCTTCACCATCCCCCAGGGTCCACTTAACCCCACACCCACCGCCCCAGTGACTCCATCTAGCCTCCTCAACCTGTGTCGTCCCCTTCTCCTTTTGCTGTCAATCATTCCCAGCATCAGGGTCTTCTCCAGTGAGTCCTTCCTTCTCGTTAGGTTGCCAAAGTATTTGAGTTTCAGCTTCAGTATCTGGCCTTCTAAAGAGCAGTCAGGGTTGATTTCCTTTAAGATTGGCTGGTTTGATCTACTTGCAGTCCAAGGGACCCTCAGGAGTCTGCTCCAGCACCACAATTCAAAGGCCTCAATTCTTCGGCGCTCAGCCTTCCTTATGGTCCAGCTTTCACAGCCATACATTGCAACTGGGAAAACCATATTCTTGACTATAAGCACTTTTGTTGGCAGGGTGAAGTCTCTGCTTTTCAGTACGCTGTCTAGATTTGCCATAGCTTTCCTCCCCAGGAGCAAGCGTCTTTTAATTTCTTGGCTGCAGTTACCATCTGCGGTGATCTTGGAGCTCAGAAAAATAAAATCTGTCACTACCTCCATTTCTTCCCCATCTATTTTCCAGAAAGTGATAGGACTGGATGCCATGATCTTAGTTTTCTTAATGCTGAGTTTCAAGCCAACTTTTGCACTCTCCTCTTTCACCCGCATCAAGCAGCTCTTTAGTTCCTCTTCACTTTCTGCCTTTAGAGTGGTATCATCTGCATATCTGAGGTTGTAGATATTTCTCCCGGCACTCTAAACTAAACCGTACTGAATCTCATCAGAGCAATCCTAGGGGTGTCGGATGCCTGGCCAAACCCATCTGCAGCCTCCCTGAGGCCAAAGGCCAACATCCTATTGTATGTTTAGAAAGAAGCCCTACTCCCCCTTGTAACTCTATGGGTGCCTGGGGAATGCTGGGAGTTATAGAATTTTTTCCTGTCTAAATATTTATAGGACTGTGCCCTAAATCTGTGTTACAACTGGGCAGCTAGACTATAAAAATGGCAACAGAATGCTTAGTTCTCTCTAGGGAAAACCGGCTCTTTTTACGTTTTCCTATTGAAGTATATGTTGGTTGGCCAGAACCAACAAATGCTAGTTCAGCTGATTGTTTTTACACAGACTCTCAACTCTAAAAGAAAAAAAATGCCAAAAATGTTAATGATATGTCATTCATACCTGGACAACCACAACTTGAATAGACACATGATCCGGCAGCCTGATTGGGGCCCGAAAGTACTGTGATAATGCAATCAAAAGGTGAAGTATTGCAACTAGACTTTTGGCATGGACAGCTGAAACAGATTAAGAACTCAAGTTACACAAGACACACTAAAATAAATATTTATTTTCACATGCAGTGCCCCCTTTCCTAGGTATGTAGGATATTTTATTCTTTGGCATCTTGGCCCACTAGAGATTGCTGAAAGGATATTTTCCTTTAACTATTTCGTGTTCCGGTCATAAATCAACTGGTCCTAAGAAAACAACTAAATCAACAGTACTCCTCAGGTTAGATTTTTTTTGCATGCCTAGATTCCATTGGCTTGAAAGATGGAAATCTAAGCTTGATTCAAAAGGCAGATTTTATTATGCAGCTGTATTAAGTGCTATCTATGCACTCCCTGTGCTTGTTCCTTTATCCTTGCTATTCCAGTGTCGATTTATGAACTATGAGAAGGATATTTTTGTATTCATAACATGCACTTAATTCATTTTTAAGTGTCACAATGTCTGCAGAAAGATGAATGAGTCTATTTAGCGTGTACCCTTGAGCAATAACTTACTAAACTGTATGACTCAAACATTCCTCATGAACTTGTTAAGAGTTCTTGTTATTGTAGCTTATTCAAGCAGGTTTTGCATGTGTCGTTAACACTAACAAGACTGTAAGATATCAAAAGGCTTGCTGTAGGAAACTTTAAATTCACAACCAAACCTGTAGCATCAAAGGAAATAATTTACAACTGTATTATAGAAGCAGATTTTGCATTACTGTTTTCCTGTGTCAGAGTTATCACAGCAATGTTCTAAAACATTTAATTTTAGGTACACCATTGACCACATTTTCAGCTTTTCAGTTGTCAACATGTCATTGTACAACCAAAACTGGAGGAGAACTAATGGGAACATGTATCTCCTTCAACATATTTCTATTTTGTGCAGATATTCTTCTGCAAAATTACCACTCAATGTATTCTAGGTGACTAAATTTCTCAGGTTTCTTACAGGGCAAATATAAAACTGTGTTGTTCCTTTCTTTTTTAAAAAAGAAAAGCTTTCACAATAGGGATCTGCATAAAAAGCTATTCCAAGCAGCCATTTAAGTCGTCTGCAGACATGGGTTGTAATCCAACATGTTCCAGTCCTATTCATTTCCAATTCATTTCAACCGAAGACAGCTCCAAAGCTTTTTTAAGATCAAGCGTAGTCTGATGGCCAAAATGCAGGATGAGGTTAGAGGAACACTGTACTCAGGTCCCTTCTTAGCCAAGAAACTCTCTGGAAAAGTCATGATCTTTCAAGCTAACTTAGCTGAGTGGGAATCTAATGGCCAAAAAAAGATGACTCTGTGTATAACGGCCCTGAGCTCCCTGAAGGAACCAGCAAACAAAAGGCTGGCTGTAGAATCTGGGAAGTGCTTCCTGCCATGGCAGCTTCTCCTCCTATTCTCTGTCCACTCACACAGTGGGACAGACTGGGCGGTCAATGGTCACCTGCCAAGCCTGCCAGAACAAAGAGGGCAGGTGAGTGAGCAACACTGGCACCACTCAGTTACTTGCCATCTGACTAGGTGGGCAGTCCTGGGAGACAGTGGCAAGACGCAGCAGCCACCCAATGGGGAGAGAGGGCAGCAGCTGTTGCTAGAGCAGGCAAGGTCCCCACCTGCCCTCTTCTCCCCTAAGGTGATGGGCAGAGAGTTGAAGGAGGCTCTCCATGGGATGCAGAGGACAAGGGGACAAGAGGCAGAGCCACCAGGTGGGGAACTCGCATTGCTGTGCCAGTGGTGGTTCCTCCTCCTCCTCCGCCTTCTCTTCAGAAAAGCTGTACCAGGGTTCCTGGCTGGCCCTCAAGGAGGGCTCTACTTGTAACAACTGCCAGAGGAAGCTGATCCCCTGGACAGCAGCATGGGTGAAATAATCAACCAAAATAACCCTTGCCTGAATAGGGCATATGCCAATTTTTCTGTTGTGCGCCACTCTTGAGTATCCTCATATAGAAAGGCAGGATATATATTAGTGGGAATTAAATAAATTTTTCCCCAATCCCATAGGGAGCTGCAACAGAAACAGAAAAGAACAGAACATACTGTACTGGGTTTAGGGAAATCGTTACCTCTGACGTGTCTATACATGGCCCTTGTGCAATAACGTACATGCAAAATGAACTTAAATAGTAAAAAACGCTACAAAATTTCCACTGCAATATTTTGTGTATACTTGTCATCAGAAGTAGCTACTGTACTATGACATCAATAGAATTGTGCATTCGAACACAATTTTAGATATAAATTAAATGCAGACATGCATATTGCTGAATCTCTTTCTAATTAAGAATACATTATAGCTTCTGTCCAGTCTAACAAATTCTACAAAACAAGGTTTGTTTTTGTAACCTTTTGTAACTTTCAGTACCATCAATAAGTATTTATTAATCCTTTAATACCATCAATAAGATTCCATCATAAAATGCATAACTCACAGTCAACATTCCACTTGATGCTCCTTGGAGGAAGTTTAAGGGTTTCATTGATCTTTTCAAGTACTGTCTGTAGTTTCTGTTTCTGAGCTATTTCAGACTGTGTGACTTCAGCAACATTGAGTTTCTCACTCTCAAGCTTCTCTAAAGTGATAATGGAAAAAAGAGTGGCAGGTCCACATCTCAACTCCATGTACCAAGTGCACCGCAAAGATATTCTGTTCCACATACCACAATGGATTTTCTGTACAGAACTAGTCTGATGTTTCAGAGTAACTTCCAATGATTTCTTTACCTCTCCCTCCAAACACTTTTGTCTTCCATTACAGATCTCTATTTGTTTTTTTAAGCAAAGAACAAAGATGCCAACCCATTTAACATTTATTTCTCCTAGAGAGTCTACTTGGCCCCATTTCTGTTTCCAACAAGGGCCATACATGATACCAGCCTGGATCTTAAATCTGGATATCCTCAATGAACTTTTCATGATGGGCAGGAATGGGGGAAAACCCACAATCAGATCTCCTCCTTTGAGGAGCTGTTTCTGGCCTCAGAGCAGCAGGGCCACAGTGGATGCTCTGTAGAAGACACAGGAAGGTTCTTCTAGCTTACTTAAATAAAACTGTGATAAAAACATGAGAGAAATGGTTGTTTGACTCTTCAATGAAATTATAAACAACTAAGGTTCTGCCTCAGGGGTGGGAGACTTTTTCTTTGGCAAGGGCCACATTCCCTCACGGGTAATTTATCAGAGGCTATAGGTGAACAGGAGGTAGGGAAGGGGCAAAACCAAGAGTTGGTGGATCAACCCTCTTTCTCCTCCTCTTTTCTCCCCCCACTCCAACTCTTCCTCCTCAGATTTTCTTTTGTCAGAGGTCTGGACTGATTGTATGCAAAGGCTTTTGAAATCAGGCTAGGGACTTCTGAAAATAGGTCAGGGGTTTTTGAACTTACGAGGTAGAGGGTCGCATGTGAAGTAGGTTGTTCCATTCCTGGTATACAAGAATGTTATCCTTTTATCCTTGTAGAAGTAGAGGATCTAGAGCACCATGTTTAATCTTTGACCAGCCAGCAGTATTAAAAAGACAGGTAATCAATGCCTGCCTGGCCTTTGGCTCCCTTTGCAATCGAGCTGCCAAGTCAATCACCTTTGTACTGCCCTGCAGGACCTTTGACTTTTCCACATGTTGTTCTGTTACACTCTGGAATAGAAATACATTTGGCTGGCATTGTTACCACTTGATGTACACAAGATGCTGAATGCTGTGAAGTTGCAAATTATTTTCACTGTGATGCTAAAGTTAAGTAAACAAAAACAAACTGGCTTCGCTGGTTGCAAAAGTATTCACTTTCCTAGCCTGCACTTGACAGAAGTAAGTTGGCAGCAGTTACAGTTGCTGCTCTTCTTGGGTAAGCCACTGTACCATATTAACTTTATGCTTCCGAATCCTGGGCATGGATGAATTAGCTCTGGTGCAACCCACTGCCTTCAGAAGTCCCATACTAAGTAGCTAGAATCCACCTGTGTGCAATTCTGGTGTCACATAATCTATATACCTGTTCTAAGGTATACCAGGTATAAGTATACCTCTTTCTGGAAGGCCTCAGAGTTTGTTGGAGAGCATATCTTTACAAACAGCATCAAGAACTTCAAGGGGCTCGTATCAAAAGGGATACAGTTGCGCAGAAGCACCAATCAGACTTGAGTTATTAAAAAAAAATCAGACTATATGAGAACATCCCCTAGAGCACTGTAATAGCCATTATTACAAAAAAGTAAGAATGTGGCTCAACCACTGTGTAGAGAAGGCCATCCACCAAATCTTGATTGCTGGGTAAGGAGGATGTTAATCCAAGAAGCAATCAATAGGCCAATAGTAATCTGAAGTAGATCTGAAGAGATCTGCAGCTGAGGTGGAAGAAACCATCCACAGGACAAATATCACTCAGACACTCCACAAAGGAAGCCTTTCTAAAAAGAGTGGCAGGAAGAAAGCCATAACTGAAACAAACACATATCAAAGACTGTTTAGAATTTGCAAAAAGGCATGAGGGAGACAGAGCAAACAGGTGGAAACAAGTTCTTTGCTCTGATGAGACCCGTTTTGGCTTTCCTTCAAAGCACTATGTATACTGCAATGCCAAGAGAGGACACCATCCCCACAATGAAACATGGTGGTGGCACCACCAGTTCTAGGGTAGGTTTTCCTCAGCAGGTCTTGAGAAACTGGTCAGATTGAGGGCAAACAGTATGGACCCAAATACAGGACACATGTAGAGGAAAAATGGCTTCTGCTTGCAAGGGACCTGGGACTGGGGTGGAGTTTCACCTTCAGCAGGACAGTGATCTGTAACACACAGCCAAATCAACAACAGCGTGTTTTAACGAAGAGAAGCTGAATCTCTCAGAACGGCCCAGTCAATGCACAGACCTCAATCCGATGGAGAATCTCAGGTAAGGCACGAACATGGCTGTTCACCAACAGTTCCCATCCAACCTGACAAAGCTGGAGCAGTTTAGCCAAAACTGGAGAACAGGACTCCAGATGCTTAAGGGTGATATAACAACTTGTCCATGAAGGCTGGCAGTTGTAACGGCTGCCAATAGTGCTTCTATCAAGTACTGACTAGGGGAGTGAATACTTGAGCAGCCAACACATGCCAGTGTTTTTGTTTCACCTTTGTTCCACAATAAAAGTAAGTTGCAACTTCACAGCGTTGAGCATCTTGTGTACATCAAGTGGTAACAATGCCAGTCAAATCCATTTCTGTTCCAGGTTGTAATACAACAAAATGCAGAAAGGTCACAATTCCTGCAAGACACTCTATTATAGGAATGACAAGCAAGCAGGCAAGCATGGCCTCGGGCTACAGAGTACCCACATGCAGCCAGAAGAGACCAAGGATCCAGACAGGCTTTGTATAATGCAGCACCTCAGAAGCTTCTGTTGATTCCCTAGGTTTGAACTTCAATTAAGGCAGCTGCCATGAAAGTGACACTCCAGAGGTTTGGACAATATGTTAACCCCAGCGTGGTTATACAACTCCCCAGGCTTCAGGCTGCCTGTGGGCCCAGCTGCGTGGAATAGCCACACCCAGACGGGCCCCTGAGGATTCCTGCTCCCCTTTCTGTCTCCATCCTCCCCCAGTATCACAAGGGGCACTGTGGGGGCGCTGAGGAGCCGGGCTGGCAACTGGGTTTGGCCACTGTCTTCTGCTTCCCCAAGTCAGGGCCTGAGAAGGAGGACGTGGCCTGTTGGTGCTGCAGTAGGCAGGAAGGAGCTCCTCGGCTTGCTTGAAAAGCTGCCAAGCTCTGCAGCTGTCCCCCACCATGTGCCACCTTCCTGACCCCCGAATGCCGTTCCAATGGCACACGTCAGACCCCAGTAGCTGTCCCATGTGGGCCTGGCAATGCCGGGACAGAGGGATTCCTCTTGAACCATCCCATTCTGCAGGCATTCCCAGCTGCACAGGGAAAAACAAATGACAACCAACAGCCACAGCAGCCTGGCTATCTATTTTGCCAAGCGACATGTTTTGCTTTTCAGTTTGACCATGGCCTTGTGTGCTGTTTAGGCTCCAACCACACAAAAAGCCACCCAAACCCAAGAACATGCCATAGCTTTTTAGAAACCTGCCCGCTCCTGGAAGCATGGAGGGATCTGATGACACTCCAGCAGTGGTTGAGCACATTGTATGGACCCAGTCGTTGTCTTACCAAATTCTTACCAAACTGAGTGGACTTCTAAGTCCCTTCCTCAAGATGGGTGTTCCCATGGAATCACTTTCCTGACCACAAATTTATTTGCATTGCTTTTCTCCTTTCATCTAATGCCTAACTTGTGGGTCTTGTACTCCATGGTACTCCATGGTAGGAGCCTGAGTTCTCATGAGTTTGGAGAGACACTCTCTGTCTCTGTTCCTTCTATGAGTCTTGTCCTCCCATATCCTCAATGCCTTGTCAGCACCTTTTCCTTCCCCATCTAATTCAGAATCACCTTTCATGTCTTATTGGGCACAAGTGCAGAGACGTTGGGCCCAATACCTACAACAACCTAGCATATTCTGAAGTTAAAATTGATCACACTACTGCTGAGATTTGCCCCTTGATGAAAAAGACAAAAAAGTTAAAAAGGACAATTTAAGGACCAACTTCCGATTGAGTCTATCCTGAAAGTGCAATATACGAGAGGACTACTTCAGAACAGACACCTAAAGATGGCAATCCTATACTTGTATAGCATATCGGAAAGTTCTATTTCCAATATACTATATGTCTATGTATATGGTTCTAGTATAAAGTACAGACAAATGGAAATCCTTGCTTATATCATCCCTAACTTCAAACGAGTAATCCCCACAATGATAAGCAATGACAAACTCTTCTTACCAAAGAGTTTCTGCAGTACTTGTCCATCGTACAGGTCTTCAGCCAGGTCTTTTACAATTATTCTTTCTCCAACTAACACATCGTTAATCCAGTCAATTAACACCTGAACAAGAGGAAGCAATTTAGTAATACTGTGCAGGTACAGTCACAAATAGATGCATGCTATTGGAACAAGAATGCTTTTAGAAACAAACCTAAAAGTCAAAATACTGCACCAAAGGTGAGATGGATTAAGAAGGAAAAAAACAAAAGAAATTAGAAGCATACAGTATATGTTGAAGGTACTAATTGCATGAATGATGGTTTAACAACATATTGTGTAAAGTGGCAGATTAATTTGTCCTATCTCCCATATTAAACTAGAGTAGGAGAACAGGAGTGTAAAACCACTCCCTGCCTTTGCAAGGAAAGAACAGCACTTTGATGGCACCGATCTGGCAAGAGCTGTACTTCTAATGCCTCCTGTGCTTGGTGGGGAGAAGGCTCCATGTGTGTGCACACATGTGTGTGTAAGGCAACAAACACAAAACTAGGCTGCCACCATAATAGGAATAAAGGAGAACAAAAAAAGGCTAGAAATTCATTCCTCTGCCAGTGTATTTCAGAAGGAAACCCTTCATCAGCAGCAGCTCTCAACTATTATAAGGGATATTAAAATAATGCATAATGTATACATTTCTTTTCTAGCACCTGGGCATTTTTCCTTTCCTCCCTGTGTTTCTGTGTGTGTGTGTGCGTGCATGTGCACATGAGAGCCAGACAGATCAATACCCATTGTTAAAGACAGGTTTATAGCTAAATAGTGATAAACACACAAATTACCTACCTAGATTTTTCTTAAACCCTACAATGCATTAGCTGCAATACAGAACACAGTTAAATCCACTTAATTAAGACTTAAAATTAAGAGAGAGGTACACTCAAGAGTTATTTGTATGATATGAAGCAGAGGTGTTCTTAAGGATGTTCACCACATGTAGCCTCCGAGAATACTATGGCTTGGATCCTTTCTTTTAGCTCTATTTGCAAAGCCAGGGTTCTTCCATTGAGCAGAAGAGGTTATTCCATGAGGACAACTCTTCTGCTCATGCAACAGGACATCCTTGTCTTCTCTTCCCCTCCAGAACCCTTTGCAAGCTTTCCAAGTCTGCTCCAGAGGGTCTCCAGAGTGGGTTTGGGAGTCCATGGGGGAAGAGCTCCATTTTGCCAGTGGTTTCCCTTCCATGACAGAAGGCACCATTAGATCCAACTCAAAAGTCAAGATCTAGTACTGTAATTTTGGAAGTAGACATTTACGCTGACATCAAATATACTGTAAGCACACACCTAGAAGCTTCATATGACATCCAAAATAGTTTTCTATTTTGTGCAAAGCAGTCCTCAGAAGCATCCTAAATATCTTAGTAACAGGTGCTTATCCAAAGTAATCTTGCTCTTATTCTTAATCATACTGCCAACACAATATTAACTGCACAGTAGTACAAAGAACAATTCCTTTCTGATTTCAGCAGAGTTGCAATTTCACCTGATTTTTTCTTCCTTCTATGTCAAAACTCACTATGTGCACCCAAAACAGTGATGGTGGGCACAGTATCACCCACTTAGCAATATTGCTCTTTATTTACTGACAGTGGACTTCCAGAGAAGTCCAATAATTACAGCATTAAGGCTTCCAGAAAGGAGAGTGAAATTTGGATCTCCCCTTCTGGAATAGGTGGAAATTCAGAGAAATGCTAGGAAGATAAAGTGCCCTGCTTTTTCTCCTTTTCCATGAGCAATCAATACATAGGAACAATGTGAAAACTGTGTGCCTATATGCATCCTCATCTTGTCATTCTGCTGCCCAATCCACTTGTCATCAGCTAAAACAGACAAATGACCAGTCAAGACTTTGCCTATTGGACAGCCTTAAGTGAACTCCTGCACACTTGTGAGCTGACAACAATAATGATGATGATGACGATGACGACACCAACAAGGACGGTAGGTCTGACAGTAACTCCCAAGTGCTATTTGGACATTGGCAGTGATATAAGACTATGTTCCACGGACCAATTATTTCAGAAGGCGGGGAATATATTTTTCAAATAGAAACATAAATTTAGTGCCATGAATAACTGTCTTTGTTTTTATAGAAGAGTTTGAAAGTACTCATGCAATTACCTTCATCAGTTCTTGTAGTTTTGGGTCACTTCTTGAATTGGGATCAATCATTGTTCGGACTTCATTTTCCTCTTTAGGAGAAAAAATATATATAGATACTCATTACACACAAAGTCTGCTTATGCCTTTAACTTACATTTGGTTAAGGCAAAATCTTATTTCAAATTACCTAGCATAGTATCTTCAGGATCCAGTTCAAAAGGAATTGGACTGAGTGGTAAGTTAATGGCATTTATTCCTTCTTCTTGTAGTTCAGACACTAAGGGGGGCAAAGAAAATAGTTTAGCGAAAATTGTCTTTTTTTTACATGTTATCATCTTAATGCCTTTCAATAGCAATAAGGACATGAACTAAAAGTCTATTTTCTGCCTTTCTGGAGGACTGCTGTGTTAGTCTGTTGAAGCAAAACCAACGAGGCTAACAGACTGATTAAGGCATAAGGCAGCTTTCCCAGGGAGGCATCCTTAGACTAGAACTCCCATCATCAGTCGCCACTGGCCATTACAGAAGGTAATGGAAGTTGTAGTCCAACATATCTGGGCAGCTCCATGTTGGGTAAGGCAGGAATACTTCACCAGATGCATGAAGTGTTATCCTGTGTTATAGGTACATACATGCAAGCTTCAAGAGGACGCTAAAAGTGTGCTCAGAAGCCAATGCACTACATTCAGACCATAATCATTTTATGAACAGCGGCTATTTGCACTGAGGTTGTACATGTCTACGTATAAGCTGAAACTGCCCTATAGTATATATTGTGAATTTATCCCTTGTATCCCAAATGTAACACAACAGCGGCAGCCACCAGATGCATGGAAATCATATTAAGGTTGTGATGTAGAACCCATTCCTTGAGTACAAAAAGTACCAGGATAAATCCCTGGAATCTCCAAGTAGGAGAGCTTCTACCAGCGGGTATGGGCCAGGGGTGTACAACTTTTCTGGCCCCAAGAGCCATGTGGGGTGGCACCAGGGGGGCACACATGCATGTAAACATATACATGCATGTGCAGATACTGCTAAGGGGTAGTGGGGGGGGGGCTCCTTCTTTGGCTGCTGCAGGGTCATCTAGGTGGGGTGGAGTGGGGAGGGGGCTTTAGCTTTCTCCTCCAGAGAACTCCATCTGTCCCTGCTGCCAATCACTTGAAAAATACGTGTGTGAGTGACACCATACCTGTTCCAATTCAAGCCCTTTTGGTCTAGCAAGTTCAGCACCCATAAAGAAGTTCTAATTGTGCATAATCAGTGACAGTAGCTCTGAAACAGATGTGCTAACAAGAACAAACTGGTTGCTCCTAGGAATGAGATTTGGAAGCAACACTGCTTCTTGGAAACAACACTGGATGGTTACTCTAACAAGCTAATCAAGCCTATTTGCCATTAGTCCAGATCTGACAGCCTCCCATTTACACTGATCATAAGCTCACAAGCAGATGTTCATCGTGTGAAGAGTTTCTGTTCCTGAAAAGAGGGAATGGAGCTGCCTATACACCCCAGATGGAACATGTTTGTCTGTGGAACCTACTAGTTCACAAGGGTGTCTGCATACATAGGCTTCAGCTATGCAAATACCAGATGTGAAGTTGCCTTTTTCTCCTCTGCATCCTCAGAGCCTGTAAACAGCACATTTAAAAGTATTCTGCCTTTGCACCAGGGGAAAAACAGGCCAATTGTCTCTAATGTGATGAAACTGATCTTAAGTATTTGGAATGCATAAACAACAGCAACATATATATGGTGCAGCAGCTATTTTTAGCTTCTCTCTTAATGAGAAGATCTAGGAATACATGATCAGAAGGCTATAGTATGTCCAAAAGAGCCACATTTCCCCCTTGAATAATGCATAGAGACTTGTCCTCATAAGCACTATGATAAGTTTATCTGAAGGCACAAATCTTGCTGCCTGCAATGTTTAAATGACCTTAATTTCTTAAATTTATGCTGTCTTGTGCTTCGTGCTACTTTTTATTCAACATCTTCATGTGTTTTGATGCTGACTTCTCTTTCTCTAAACCAGAAAGAGCCAAGCTTTCCACCTTGAAGGTGTACTGACACTTAATTCTGTATTATCTGAGATGAGAAAGGGTTGTTGCCACCAAGGACTCCACACCTTCTGAACAACAGCACAACTCCTGCTTTTTACGTACCAATTCCTGCTTTGTTCCAGCAGTAGCTGATCTTCCCTGAACAGGCAAAGGCACTTGTTCAGCAGAGGAAACAGGACATATTTCCTACATATGTAAATACAATTTGCATTGTTTATGCATTGGCTACAATGTGTTTGCTAACTACTTGTGGCAGTCTTGTGCCAATGTACCTCCCTGGATTTCAGTTTACACTACCGTTATGAATGTGAAGTGGGCCTCCCCGAGGGATAGCCAGCAGAAGTATGAACACAAGAGGATAATAAAACCACAATACAGGTTTTCTAAAATTCTGTTGTTGAGCATTTCTACTACTGTTAAACCTGAGACTTTGATAAGGGATGGTCTAAAAAAAGTTTTAAATAAATAAATGAATACTACTTAAAGGAATGAGACAGTCAAATACTGATATTGACAATAGTTGTTGGCTACATTGGCATTAACTTCATGTCATTTGCATAAGTCAAATGTGCAGCTTATCACTATTAATGCAAGAAAACAATGGGACAATATACCTGATTTTAACTCATACAGTCTTTTATATTAAACATTAGAAATATGGGATAATCCAGGATTAAGACAAGGATAGAAAACCTTTTGGTTCAAAAGACACTCTCTTAATTGCTTTAAAGGACCTACTTAAAGAGGGCATTTACTGACTTCTTTTAGAATTAGCATAGTGCAATCTCTGTTGTTAATCTACAACTTCATTTAAAATACTCTCTGCAAGGCACTAAAGATTAGTCAGATCAGTTAGATGGACTACAGAAAATGGATAAAACAATTCGATATTACATGCATGATTCAGTCAGGCACTGGTCTAAATCTTCTACAAGCACTAATGATACTTTGAATTATATAACATTTAAAATACAGTAATTGTGCCAGCACCACACCACTCTTCACATTTCCATAATGTACACCATCATACTATAGTGATGCTGCTTTGGGAAGGGGTATTTAGATATACCACTTGAACTCAGAGCTCCATTTGTTCCTTTCCTTTTATGCAAGGGAGAGTTGGAGTGTTTATCCTGTGAGCAGCAGGTGCAGCTGTGGCTGAATCACAGATTTCTAGTTTCCAAAAAGTGGCCAAGAGGAGAAGCTGGAAAACCACAATTGCTACAGATGCAAATGGATTACTGAAGTGCCTGTCTTGGCATCATAAGAAACAGAAAGTTAATTGCAAGCATGGCAGAATCTCTTCTTGGTAACACTGTATCCTCATTATGATTGCTCTCCATTGGCAGTGCTCACTCACTGGGTCTTTGTTCAGGGCAGAAAACAAGAACATAAGACACATCCCTGTGGGACCACACCAAAGTTCAATCTAGTCCAGCATACTCTTCTCCAGCTGACCAAGTCCCTGAGCAGGGCGCATGTATGTACGTATGTAATTCCTAACCCGCCCCATTAGCCGTATGGCTTCCTGGGTGGTTTACAGCAACAACATACAAAATAATGCATGAATACTCCTCCATGTATTCTCTAGTAACAAGGAGGCAGTACACAGACATTATTTAGTTGTTTATAATTATTTTAAGGCTGCCCTAGATGCTATTGATAATGCGATCCTCCATGAATTTCTCTAATTTCCTTAAAGTCCAATTTGGAGGTAGTAAATGCCATAGTTTAACGATGTGCTGTTTAAAGATGCACTTCCTTTGTCTGTCCTGAATTTCCCACCATTTAGCTCCATTAGATGACTCCAGGTTCCAGTGTTGTGAGGGAGAAAAACTTCTCCTTATTCATTTATGATTATGTATCATGTCCCCTCATACTTTTTTTTTTTTTTTTTTTGGGCATCAAGTTAAAAATTCCTATCTGGTCTAAGCTTTCTTCTAAGGGGAGTTCCTTCAGTCCTTTGACCATTTTGGTTGTCCTTTTCTGCACCTTATCTGGCTCTACAATTTTTTTGAGTTAAAGTGATCAGAACTGTTCATAATTGTCCAACTGTACTGTACTGTACAGTACACACATCTGTATGCAGGCATTATGACACTGACTGTTCCAGATTTGCTTCCTTCCCTAATGATCCAGAACATGGAATTTACATGTTTTACAGAAACAACACACTGAGAGCTATCAACCACAAGCCCCAATATTTAACGAAGGTAAGTAGACAACGATCTTAACTAAATAGCAAGAAAACAAAGGAAATATATAGAGGAACTATGCGGCTGTCCTTTTATGGAAGGGCCCTTACATTTAGCCTATGTTTAATGCAACTGGTAAAAAAAAGAAAGAAAGAAAGAAACGCTAACGATGTATTCCAAATACTCCCTTCACCCAAAGCTAGCATGACCATTGGGAATTGCATGACCTATGGGCATTGTAGTCCAACACATCTGAAAGGATCCAGATTGGGGAAGGGTGATTTAAACATGCTGCTCATTTCTCAAGATTCTATTTCTTTTGAGGTGGATCAAGGGAAAATTCTGGGGCAACCGTCTCTGCACTACCCTTTAAGAAATCCAACTGACCATATAAAAATGAAAAGCAGATCAAAAGAAGTATGAAAAAGAAGATGCCACACATTCAGTAGTAGCACAAAGCACATGCCCACATGTTATGCTTCATTTAAATGGGAGTTACACTATCTTAACTAGATACCTAGATATCATCTCAATGCATGATTTTGAAAATGCAACAACACTATCATACGTATATAAAATATTTTGGAAAGAACGAATAAAATGATAACGCTAATGTTTAAATTTTAAATGTGTGATCAGAAATTAAATATTGACTCCACACAACCCATAACCATGTATTTGCAGCTATGCAGATGGGCTTTTTATGAGGTGATCATTTTGAAACAGTGACTTCAGAGTCTAAACCTGACTTTGTTAAGCAGTAAGTATCCTTTCATTCTCAAAAAAACATAATCAGCTAGGCTGGGGTGACCCAAAATGAACACAGATATGTTTACAACTGAAAATGTTTTTCAGGGAACCATCTGTAGCAGAACTCTGTCCCTAATCCATTAACTGCTGACTCCCAGCCAATCACTTGTAAAAGTGAATATGCAAACAACATGCATCAATTTGATGGTGATGCATTAGTACACTATCTCCAGAAAGGGCCCATTTTCTACAGCTGCCTCATTTCTCGC